GGCGTCGTGAAGAAAAGCATTTACTTATTAAGTAAATTCTTTTAGTCAAATTTCTTCTATTAAAGTCTTCTTTAAGCTTTAAATCAATAAATTGTCAAAACTACTGAACTGAAGTATTTTATTTTTTATATTTTAATTTTATATCATTATAAAGGGAATTGAAAGACCTTTAAAATAAGGTATCACTCGACCCCCCTTTCCATTTAAGATTTTAGGGTTGGTGTCACCCCCGCCCAGGGGGCTGCACGTATTAACGTGATTTTTTGCCAAACTTATATCCCCCTCGAAAATAAAATCGACGGGTCTGAGCGTTTTTCCAAAAAAAACTGAGCTGCCAGTAAATGCGTCTGTTTCGTTTTCGATGCGCCACGCTGTATATTCTAGCTATGCAAGTCCAACCCAAAGCTGATGAAAATATAAACAAAATAACTAATTATGGAGATTTTGTGATACAGCTTTTTCTCACGGAGAGGGAGTGACTGTTTGTGCTGGGGTGAAAATAATATTTCCCTATACAGGGTATTTTAAATTCGACCCTCACCATTGGGATCTCGGAAACTTCAAGGGATACTAAGTCACTTGAACAGAGGCAAACTTGCGAGTTCAGATAATCAGCCAAATGTCGCTTAGAAAGTTTTGAAATTGAAATTAATTCCGGAAAGAGACGTGAAAATGAAATTTCCCAAAATAGTTTTAATTTTCTCCTGACTTTATATGTGGTGGGATTTCAAAATAAACTGCACACATGAACGCTGCCACATTTTCTCTTCTACAAGACGGCACAAATAGAATTTCAATATGACGTTTTGTCTCTTGTCCTCCAGCATCAACTTAATTTATTTCTTATAGACGCCATATTGGATTCTTACACACATGAATAGAATTTTTATTCTGATTTAAAAAATGTATGTCATACATTGTCATTGCAAAACCTCAGTTATTCCAGAAGTTCCTAGGTGGGCCTTGAAATTATTAGATTTCATTGTTTGCATAGCAACAAAGTTTGGAAGACTGTGAATACCTTTGCTTCTTTATGGTTGTTATTGATATTACCATCAATAAAATTTACATTTCGTATTAAGGTTTTACCAAATCCTTTTATTTCCTTTTAATTTTCATCCGACAACAAATTTATGGTCAACTAACAATCAGTGAATTTAGGGCTTAAAAAGTCCATTTAAATGTACAAAATTCCAATAGTGTCCATATGAAAAAACAAATTTGATGATGGAAGTCGAAAGAAGAAATGTCGAATTGAAAATTTGACTACGCCATCTTGCAGACGAGAATAAGTAACAATGACAATATGCAATGTATTTTGAAATCCCATCTCGAATTGAGTTAGGAAAAAATAGAGTGGTTTTGGGATAAATCTGGTGATCGAAACAAGCATCTGATAATTTCAAGGTCTATCTAAGAAATTCTGTTTTTCTTAAAGTAATCAAGGTTTGACTACGTCAATGTATGACGTATTATGCATTTTTTGAATCAAAATTAAAGCTCTATTCATCTGTGCAAAAATGCAATATAGCGAAATAATAAAGTTGATGCTGGAGGATAAGAGAGGAACCGTCATATAGAAATTCTGATTATGCCTCCTTGTAGAGAAGAAAACGTGGCACTGTTAATGTGCAATTTATTTTAAAATCCCAATATAAATAAAGTAAGGAAAAAATCTGAACAATTTTGGGAAAATTCAGTTTTTCCGTTACTTTACGGAAGTACTTTGAATTTTTGAAGTGTCACTTTGTTGACTACCCCATTTAAGCGACTTCGTATCCCTTACAGTTTCCAAGATCCGAATGGCGAGGGCCAAAATAGAAACACCCAGTATATGCAGACTCTTACTAGAAGAAAGAAGTGAAAATACTGCAAGGATTTAATAACGTCTTTGAATAAGGGTGTTATACACTAAAAAGCTAAAACGGCTGAACATAACTACAATTTTTAAGATCTGTTTACATAGCTATAAGTTTCACAAAGTTTTCAACATGGACAAAAAGAACTGAGACTAGGAAAATACATAGAAGTAAGACTTAAATAGCGTAATTACGCATTTTGCAACTGTAACAAAAATTTTCAAAAGATTAGTGATTACAAAAATCGTATTAATTATGGATCTTGAAAATTATGTCCTCTATCGTTCGGATTTTTCATACTGTATTCATAATCTTCATTTTGCCCTTACCGGGACAATAAACAAAATATTGAGCACACAGCACTTTGGCGCTGGCTGACATTTAAAATGGAATTTCATTAAAATTTCTTCTGCCATGCTCACCCGAAAATATTACAAAAACTTGTTTCTGTTGAATTGTGGCCCTGTTTTCTCTACAAAATTAAGGCACCGCGGCTGCTTTCAGGAGCTTAAAGAAACTTTGTTATTCCCATTTTTGAACTGCCTACAGTTAGTAGAACCGGGAAAATCCCCTTATGTAGATTGTTACACGATCTCGACACCCTCGGGACAAAGGAGCGTTCTTATCGGCCAGTTCTGGATGTACGAAGTTCGATACGCTTACAATGGGAGGCCGAAGTCAGGTAGGCACATAGCGGGGCGACACCATGGAAAAGAGCTCTGATGAGCAAAGCCCGTTGGCGTAGCTAGATCGCCAACGTCCCGTCGGTGAGAAGGTGTCACCAGATCGTCAATTATAAATGAGTAATCGATCATTAAATGCCTCTTGCGAAGCAGTTTTAGTCCTCAAGATAGTTTCGACACACTGAGATACCTGTCACTGTCACTGGTTGACTGATGTCCTCTGATCTGTCAGAAGGTTCTGTACGAACAGCGGATTAGCTGTCGGCAAACAGTTCGAAACTGTACGAACAGGTAACATCTCTCTGATTGTGGATGCCTGACTCAAGTATTCCTCTCTGGAAAGTTGCAAAGTCGCTCAGAAACGGAAAGCGAGGTTTTCGCTGATGCAATGGAAAGTCAGTTCTCTCCCAAATATGACCTTGATAATGACCTCGACGAGGAGCAACATATTATAAGATCCGTCAGGAGATATTTTAGAGCCAACGGCGTCAGTGGCAGTAGTGCCTCCCTTAGTGATTTTTCCTCAGAGGAATCTTCAGAAGATTCCTCAATTGAAGAGCTGCACGGCACATCAGCGGAATCTCCTGAGTCTCCGCATTGCACACCAGCAGAGCTCCAAGGTCATATTAAAGACCTCAAGGTGCGTAAAGCACCTGGAGAGGATCGAATCACTAATAAGGCGCTGAAGCTACGTGGAAGTCCTTAACTTATCTCGTGGTAATAATCAATGCCATGCTAAGGACCCAGCACTTCCCAACGGCGTGGAAGACCGCTGATGTCATAATCATTCCAAAGAAGGTGGGTTCGATATTCCCCCAGGATTACCGCCCATTAGTCTACTGTCAGCTCCTTCTAAGCTCGCTGAAAAGGTGATTCTACGTCACCTTGAAAATTTCTCGGCAGACCACAATGTGATTCATGACGTGCAATTTGGCTTTCGGTCTGAGCATAGTACGGAGCTACAGGCCATAAGGCTTGTTGAACGAGTAACCAGGGGGTTCACCCGTAACGAAAGTACTGGCATCTTGCTACTGGATGACTCGAAGGCATTTGACAAGGTGTGGCACAAGGGCCTTCTCTACAAATTGATCCATAAGGGCTTCCCCTTCTGGCTCCTAAAACTTTTGAAATCCTTTCTCGAGGTTAGGAAATTTCGGATCAAAATTAATAACGTTCTGTCGACAACACGGCCCATCAAAGCCGGTGTCCCTCAGGGTTCGGTTCTTGGACCAGTCCTTTATTCACTTTTTATTCATGACGTCCCTTGCCCCAGCAGCTGTGAAACCTATCTCTATGCTGATGACACTGCCCTGGTGACCCAGTCGTGCTCTGGGGATCTAGTTCACGACAGGCTGCAAAGTGCAGTGGACGAGGTATTGGAATGGGCGAATCGGTGGCTGATCAAAATTAATCATTCGAAAACGCAGGCAATCTATTGTACTAAAAAACGTAGCGGCGCCCGGTCTGAGGTTTCAGTGAATGGAGCTCGGGTAGCATGGGAAAGCTCTGCTAAGTATCTCGGTGTCACTCTTGACAAGGGGATAACCTGGCAAAAGTACACTGAAGCGATAAAAACTAAATTCCAATCTCGTTTCGGAAACTCTACCCTATGCTATGTAGAACATCAAAATTAAGTTTGATTAACAAAGTTCGGCTATACAAAATGGTTATTAGACCAGCGATAGCTTACGCAAGTGCGGCTTGGTGTTTTCTCGCCAAAACGCATTTGCGTAGCCTGCAGGTTTTGCAGAACAGAACCTTGCGTACAATCACTAACGCCCCATGGTATGTTTCCAACGAGACCCTTCACAAAGACCTTGACATCCCTTACCTAAGGGACTACATCAAACAACAAGCGCAGCTACGTTACAGTCAAGCAGAATCGCATAACAACCCTTTGTTGCGCGAGTCAGTAGACTACACAGTCGAGCAAGTTCGCAAGCACACAAGGCCGCGACTCGCACGGTGAACAAAATTAAATCGTCCAACCAAAATTATAATTTTTCTTCAACAACCAATCCCAAAATTAATTTTAGGATCAATTTAAAATTGCTGAATACTAACTAGCAATGCCAAGGCACCCCTCAAATTGATGCACTTCTTTTTCCTCTGCTCTCCCTCCTTCCTTCCTTCCTTTCTTCTTCCCTTCTTTCTCCCTGACTTTTTTGGTATCTGAGCAACCAGAAATGACAGACCTACTGACTTACAAGACTTCAACCAAGAGCAAAGGTCCTACGGACCGCTCTGACAGACAATGACAAATAGTAGTATCTCTCTGATTCTGATTTTGACAGTCATCGACAAGTTACCGACTACTGTACGAACAAACCAATTGCGTACTGAGTCGACTTCCATGGAAAAAATATCACTTTCCTATTGACCATTCTCTGTACGTAATTAAAAAACATTTGACGACCGAAGAAACATCAAACAAAACTCATGATTTGGATTTTTTCAGGTTTTTGTAGTCCAGCACGTAGATGTTTGCATGTTCTCCAATGGAAAATTTAAAAACGTCGTAGCAATGATGTCTCCGAAAGAAGATTGTCCAGTGCTTGCTGGTACTACGTTCGACAAGACCTACACAATGATGCCGATGAAGAGCTCCACCAAAAACTGGATAGCCCTTGAGGAATCTTACAACCGATCTGGCACTAGTTTAGCTTCCACGGTTGTATCAGTGGTAAGTATTTTCATCGTGAAATCACAGAGTATTGGCTGGGTGACTGAAATATTTATGCTTGTGGATATTCAGAACACGCGAACATTTAATCGATTTGAAACTGAATATTTTAAATCTGACAAGCGATGACAACGGAATATTTGTAGGTTACAACTTGTAGATTTCATTTGACCCCACATGGTACAGAGATTTTAGCATAGAGACCACACATACGAAGAGGTACCCAAAAATAACCGGAATAGCACTGCAGTGGGCGGAGCTTGTGTAGTACACATGTCTGCCTCTAGAGGCGTACAGCGCGACTCATTACCAGTTCAGTGCCACCTGAGTTGTCGATCTGGCTTGTTTCGTTCCATTGTAGTCATTATTTTTGCTATACTGAATTTTCGTCGAGAAACCCTGTACACAGATTAAGGACCAGATATTCAATCTTGGGATTCACGACCTGTTTATTAATGAACTTAGAATATTATTTAGCGAATGCAGGATGCCTGAACACGTTTTCGCTAAGTTTCTGCCATGTAATAGCCGACGTGTGTATGGAAGACCTGCTGCGGTTGGCGGCCAGATCCCCAAAACTTAAGGTAGTCTCAAAGTTTTCGTAGGGATTTGTGTGTTGGTTGGTCGGAACGGTGTGTTTTGATTAGTTAAATGGAGGATCTTTGTCAGGTCGGAACTACATGATAACAATAGAAGCCGCACGCCAAGTTGGAATTATGAGGATACAAGTATATCAATTTCATTACTTAGGCACAAACTACATACATCAAAACTCTTCACTGCTGACCTGCATCGCATCATAATTTCGTTGGGAAACTGTCCTATTACCTAAAAATGTTTACATTACTAAACAACAACGAATTTAACTGCCCACGCCTAAGCCTAATAATGATATTTTTCCAAAAAACAGTTCATTCCTAACCTCTTAAGCATCCTAAAGTTTTGCTTCCAAATAGAGTATCACAATTTTATTTGCTTTAGAAGTAAATATATGAATCAATTTCAAGGCAATCCATATTCAACATTTTGTTTACAATAACCTCCTTATTAATTTTTCGATTGACTAAAGCATGATCTCAGTTTACATATACTGTAGACAATTTTCATATGGAAATTTGAAGCAAAAAACTGTTTTGGACATATTTGACAAATATTTTTATAAGAACAGCAAGAAAAAGTAACTGCATTTTAGTGCATTTGGATCGACGTATTTTTATTGAATTTTTCGGTATATGCCCTTTAATGTTGGCTAAAACGAGGTATTTGGCGTAATTTACTTGGAGTATCAATGTGATTCTTAAATATCAGATTCTACATGTTATTCATAATTAGGTTAATTGTAAATGTATGGGGCCTGAATAAACGACTATCATAATTTTTCATAGTTTTTTCTAGCCTACAGTATATTCAGATAAGAGATAGACCGGACATAAACAAGACCACGTGATCATCGAACGCTGTAACATTCGGCAGGGACGTATTAAGAGTCACGCAGTTCATATTTTAGATAGTAGATGCTGCTTTGCGTAACTTTGTAGTAAATTAGCACAATTCGATGTGTATACGATTGGTGATGGATATAGGATCATGTGGGGGTGGGGTAAGAAATATATAATGATGTAAATATACATAAGGGTTTCAAAATTTTCGCTTCGATTTCCAGCTTCGGATGCCGCCTGATGTTTGGTGAAATACAGTCGAATATAATCTCAAAATGGCGTTTAAATTAGCCTAAATTAAAAATAATCGTATATCTCTTAAAATTGCTTTTAGAATATTGATTAGTATATTTTTTGATTTCTAGGTAAATATGTAACCAAATTAAAACGTTCAAAACGTAAAAAAATGTGCATGGTTGAACATTGTCAGAAAGTAGATTCTTGAATAGGTTTTGCCAAAATGGGTTCAAAAATGTCAATAATTAATTAAAAAATACAGTAGCTTTATAATTACTTATAACTTACCGAATTTGATGAACGACATCTTTTATTGGAAAGATGAGCTTGATGAGCTTTCATCATCGCTACTGCCTGAAGCACCAACGTCAATAATGAATGGCTCGACTTGTTCCTCTAAAATATTGTCCAGTTCCCACATTCTCTTTTCAACTTTGTCTTTCACGTGCTTAATACAGTTTTCCCATTTTTGCGCTGTTATTAATTCTAGTGCTTCTTTGAAAAGTCCTTTGAGGTCACAAAATTTAAAAGTTGTATTGTGCTTAGCTATATAATTTATTTTTAACCTCTGCCCATATGAGCTCAATGGGATTGAGCTCGCAATGGTATGGAGGTAAACGGAGCACAGTTTTATTTTGACTTGCTGCCATTTCGTCAATGGCGTATTTTTGATATTCCGCCTTGTGATCCTTGACAATTCTTAATAATTGTACTTTCAGCATTGCTTCTTCAAAGTTGATATTTTTCGAGCGGAGCCAATTTTGAACATCAACTTTCCTTGAAGCCGTTGTTGGGACCTTCTCCATTCTTCGAGAATGATAAGGCGCATTATCCAACACAATTACTGCGTTTTCCTCTAAGTTCGTTAAAATTTTTGAAAACCACTGTTCAAACGATTCGCCATTCATTTCCTCGTGGTAATCTCCAGTTTTCTTAGACTCAAAGCACCACAGACCGTCAACAACAAATCCATCCTCACTGCCAATATGGCAGATAATGAGCCTTTTCCCTTTACCTGGAAATCGAAGTACTAACTGGTGTAGATTTATTTCAATAAGCGAACCTTTTTCAAATGTTTTCATCACATTCAGCGAAAAAACATAGAGACATGAGTATCAGATTGCTATAATTGGGATTATTTAGTCATATTGAAAGAAAGAATATTGAACGTCGTATGATTACTCAGCGCTTCACAATTTAATTTAAAGTTATAAACCTTTAAAAAATGAATGATCAGGAACCTGAAATACGCGCAAATATTACCTAATATTAACAAATTATAACTTTATAAAGCTTAAAGTATGAATTAAAATGATTAGAAATATTAGGAACGGTACACAATATAAAACTTAGTAACTTTTTTTAAGTTTATAATATTCGACATATTTTAAGATTATATTAAAAAATTATTGAAATATCGAAAACACATAAAAACATGGCTTAAAAAAGTTCTAACAAATGAAAATGACAATAAAACATCCACGCATTTTATCGAAAGTTATAAAAGTTTTGTTACTTGTAATATGTTTTATCTGCCCCCTGGAATTAATGTTTAGAACCTTGTTCCCAAGGTTTGAAAAACATCCGATTGTTGTCTATTACTCGTATTTACCTGCTGGATTTTTTAATCCGGTGGACAGTCCATCTAGAAAGGTCCTCCTAGATGAAGTTACAGAATCATCAACCCATACTTTACTTGTAGTGTGTCCTGCGTTTACCCACGTTTCATCAAGGTAATAAATCTTCCTGTTTTGATTTCTATATTTCCCAATTTTTGTTAAATAATCCCTCCTCCATAGCACAATTTCTTCTCTATCCAGTAGGAAACTATTACGACCCCGTTTTTTCCATTTGAAATTTAAATGCTTCAGTAACGCATGGAAAGTTGATCGTTTGAAATTTGGCAACGTTGTATCTCCATTTACCTCCTGCAGTACTTTATCTATAGTAGGTATTTCATTCCTAAAGAAGAATTCATGCACTTTCCTCCTAATCGCATGCTTATCAGCTTCATCCAATGATTTAACAATACTTTTGCGATGTTTACTGGTCATTGGCTCAGAAAAGGTGTGATTTTTTTTGTATTGTCTTAATACATTAAACACTGATGCGCGATACACCCCAACTTTGTGAGAAACCTTCACAACAATTTCTTTGATGGTTGATGCCTCGTTCTCCTCGCGCTCGATCTTATATATATTCAAAATGACCTCTTTCATTTCTGCACTCAGGTGTCTTTTTTTAGAGCGTTTCCTAGGTGGACTACAGGAGTTTACAACTTCATCGGCAGTATCTGTGCTACTGGGCATTTTGCGCAAGCAGTTGATAACAATAACAATCAATAACAATAACAACGACAAACTCAACAACTTAATAAGATAACAAACGAAAACGTCCAAAGAAATATCAAATTGCAATGATGCACACGACATACGTAACACGTCTGAACCTGAATGTGACTCTGTCTTGATACGACTGCTCTGCCGCTCGGCATAGGCATTTAATTGCGAATTGACCAATGAGGGCTCCTGTTTTACGTCGAGACGGCGGCGTTAGCGTGAAAATCACCCGAACCTTTTGTTTACATCCGGTCTATCTCTTATCTGAATATACTGTAGTTACCAATTTATGCGACTTCAAAAAGTAAAAGGAATTTGACAAACGGATTTTTTAAAAATAATAAATAATAAATTGGTTGAAATTCTACATTTCATTTTTAATATAGGAAACCGGAAGTTTATAAGTTCTAAGAATCATATTTTTCCAACTTCGCATTTTTTATACTTTGTATTTTTACATCAAATATATCTTGTAATATAGAAATTCTACCTGTATGTTTAAAAATAATGATATCTCGATTTGTTTAGAAGATAAAGTGTCTTACTCATTAATTTCTGTTCTTCAGTACAATTAATAAAATATAGATATGTAAAAGAACACAATTTAAAATAAAATTTAATTTATTGAATCGTATTATTCATTATTAAATTAATAAAATTTTGTTTTAATCCTAGGTCGGCAGGTTAAATCCAATAATGTAGTAAAAAGTTGATATAATTAGGAAGAGATTCATTGGAGCCGCGATTTGAGATAGCTGTTACCAATCCAGTGACTAAAAAATTCCACGTCTTTCTACCAACGTCTGAGGGCAAAATTGGAAAACGAACTAGTTATATCATGAACTGAAATGTAGTTAAAATTTGCAAATAATTATAACAACTTTTTACTACTTCATTACATTTAACCTGCCGACACAAGATTAAAACAAAATTTAATTTGAGATTTTAATAATGATAATAAATATAAGCAAATAAATTAAATTTTGTTTTAAATTATGTTCATTTAATATTTCATTAGTTGAAAGACAGAAACCAATGAGTAAGGCTGCTACATTAAAAAACAGCCCAGGGTAGGCTCCTTTGTACTTTAGTTCATATATATATTCTAAACAAATCGAGATGCCATTTTTATTTTTTTAACATAATATTTCTATATTACAGGCTATATCTTGACGTACAAATAAAGAAATGATAAAAAAGCAAAGTTGAAAAAATCTGATTTTAAGTACTAACTTCCGGTTTACCAGATGAAAAAAGAAAATCAAATCTCGAATTTCTAATAAAAGAAAGTATTCTCAAATAAGCATTTTTTAGTTATTTGCCCATTTCATTTTCTGCATTCGTGATTTTGAAGAATCCGTTCCTCAAATTCTGTCAATTATTTCGCATAAATTGATAACTAGCGTAGAAAAAACAAAAATAACGATAGTCATTTATTCAGCTCTCATACACGTCCAATTATGACCAAAATCCAGAATCTAACATTTTCATAGCTGTCCGCTGAAACGCCCCCAATATCAAATTTCGTTTACAGACCAATCCGGATGACCGCAACGTCTTCGCAATCTACGTCTCCTACTATGTCAAAGTGAAAATCACCGTGAGTCTGATGGGCGGCGAGCTGAACCTAAAACTACCCTTCACCCTGATGCACACCTGCGCGGAACACGAACTGGCCGAGGCTGTCACAGGCGTTGCCGACAAAGGGGCGAGACCGGAGGTAGGCGGAGCAAAGGGCGTCGGAGCGGCGGAACCTGAAACGCAGGATGGAGATGCCGAAACGGAGGGCGTGATCAAGCCGGAGAAGGACGGCACGTGAGACATAGCGGAAAAGGTAAAATTGCGTACGGTTGTCGTTAATAAAGGAACATACACTGAGAGATACCTGAATTCTTTTACAAATGTTGTAAGCAAAACCATTTTAAGAAAAAACTTTGAGGCATTATCTCGCGAACGGTAAGAGATATGAAGTCACTTTAATGGTGTCAAAGTTCCGCACGGGTATCACGTATCTTGCAAAGTGACATTATGCCGATTTTTTTGACATTATGCTGGTGTCTTTTGACATTATGTAGGTTTTTCTACAAGATGTTAACTTAGCACTTAGTTGCACGTGTTACCTATACGTCATGAGGCTTGTTATCAATCTGTGGCTCTGATGTGATGTAAAATGAGCTTCAGAGATGGCATTACTGGAGGTCTAAGCTGTAAGTTGTATGTGTTGATTACAATTACATTGGGTTCATGCCTCAAATAATCTAAATTAAGATTCAAAGCTAGCTAGCATGCTAACAGTAACTACACACTACGCGGACGCGGTGATGATTTCCCGTAATTCTCGTCAGTTTTTCGTTATTTATAATTTTGAACATAACCTCTCTTCAGGAAGCACAACATAAAAATAACCCGTTATTTTCTCACACAGCAGATATCACTGATTTTGTACACATGCAGACCAATACACATAATCATCTAAATGCGATCTTGCTATTCAACCAACTTTCTTCTCAGAGATAGAAACTACAGACAAGGACCATTTGGCCTCACAAAACATATGCAACCGATAATGCGTGTAGTTTAGTTGAGTGATTCCTCCATAGATGGACGTTCACAACGATCCTGGTGAGCAAACTTGGAATGACTGTTTGCGCCCTAAAACTACCTAGTTTGCAAGATGACATCTTATAGGTTTCTTTTGACGTTTTATAGGTTTTTTATATGGTACCCGTATTAAGGTAACTAACAAAATACAGATTGGAAAGCTTCGAAATTTAAAGTATTTCCGAAGAGAGACGAAAAAAAGCGAATTTACCAAAATCGTTTTAATTTTTCCTGGAATTATTTGTATTGAGATTTTGAAATAAATTGCACATTAACATTCGTCACCTTTTCACCTCTACAAGATGCCAAATTTCAATGTGACGTTTGGTCTATTGTTCTCCAGCATCACCTTTATTTTTTCTCATGGACGCCATACGGCATTTTTGCACAGACGAATAGTCTTTAATTCTGATTCCAAAAATATATAAGGTGTCATACATTGACATAGTCAAACCTTAGTTATTTGAAAAAAACAAAATTTCCTATGTAGGCCTTGAAATTCGGATAGTCATTACTTTTGTATAGCAGATTTATGGGAAAATGATTTTCATTTTTTCCTGACTTCATTAGGCTTGGGGTTCTTGCCTCAAATACACTTAATTGAGATTCAAAGCTAGCTAGCATGCTAACAGTAATTACACACTACGCGGACGCGGTGATGATTTCCCGTAATTCTCCTCAGTTTTTCGTTATTTATAACTTTGAACATAACCTCTCTTCAGGAAGCACAACATAAAAATAACCCGTAAGTTTCTCACACAGCAGATATCACTGATTTTGTTCACATGCAGACCAATAAACATAATCATCTAAATGCGATCTTGCTATTCAACCAACTTTCTTCTCAGAGATAGAAACTACAGACAAGGACCATTTGGCCTCACAAAACTATGCAACCAATAATGCGTGTAGTTTAGTTGAGTGATTCCTCCATAGATGGACGTTCGCAACGATCCTGGTGAGCAAACTTGGAATGACTGTTTGCGCCCTAAAACCACCTAGTTTGCAAGATGACATCTTATAGGTTTTTTTTGACGTTTTATAGGTTTTTTATATGATACCCGTACCGTATTAAGGTAACTAACAAAATACAGATTGGAAAGCTTCGAAATTTAAGTACTTCCGAAGAGAGACGAAAAAAATCGAATTTACCAGAATCGTTTTAATTTTTCCTGGAATTATTTGTATTAAGATTTTGAAATAAATTGCACATTAACATCCGTCACCTTTTCTCCTCTACAACATGCCAAATTTCAATGTGACGTTTGGTCTATTGTTCTCCAGCATCACCTTTATTTTTTCTCATGGACGCCATACGGCATTTTTGCACAGACGAATAGTCTTTAATTCTGATTCCAAAAATATATAAGGTGTCATACATTGACATTGTCAAACCTTAATTATTTGAAAAAAACAAAATTTCCTATGTAGGCCTTGAAATTTGGATAGTCATTAGTTTTGTATAGCAGATTTATGGGAAAATGATTTTCATTTTTTCCTGACTTCATTAGGCTTCAAGGATTTTTCTTTCAACTGCTACCACTTACTTTGTTTTTTCATATGGGCGCTATATTGGAATTTTGTAAATTTAAAGACTACTAAGAATGAAATATTACTTCAATTGATTATATAAAGTTTATCGTGACATAAATGTGTTATATTCATAACTAAATGCAGAATCAAAAATTGTATTTGATTGTGCAAAATTTCAATATCGAGTCCATAAGAAAAAACAAAGTTAATGAAGGAGATCGGAAGCAGAAACGACCAGTTGAAAGAATGTCTACGCCTTCTTGTAGAGGAGAATGAGTGACAAAGCTAATGCAATTAATTATAAAATCCAATTAAATATACAATCAGGAAATAAACAACAATTTTGCGATAAATTCGGTATAAGAAAAAAATGACTATCTGATAATTCCAACGCATACCTAGGAAATTCTATTTTTCTAAGATAACTGAGGTTTGGTAATGTCCATGTATGACATATTTTATATATTTTGGAAATCAAAATTAAAAACTCTATTAATCTGTCCAAAAATCTAATATGACGTCTTTAAAAAAAATGCTGGAGGCCAAGAGCCAAAACGTCATATTGAAATTCTAATTATTCTATCTTGTAGATGACAAAAAGTGGCAGTGTGGTTAATATTGAGATCCCACTATAAATAAAGTCAGGAAAAAATTAAAACGATTTTCGGAAAATTCGGTTTGTTCCGTCTCTCTCCGGAAGTACTTTGAATTTCGAAACTTTCTAAGCGGCATTTTACCAATTACCTAAATACGCAACTTTGCACCCATTTAAGTGACTTGGGCTCACCAATGGTGATTGTTGAATTTGAAACACCCGGTATATTCGCATTCCGCGTTCCATATTACCAGTCTCTTGATTGTAGCCATAGAAGATGAAATGACGCCGTAAAATTCATAGATTTACTTTTACTTTTTTGTTCAGTTTAATGAGATCTACTGTCGTGTGTATTGCAAGCCTAAATAATCGCATACATACGAAATGAAATTTAAAAAAAAAAAAAAGAACGTAAAATCTAAAAGCACATAAATGTTTAAGTACAATGTTTAGTATACTGTATTTTTAAACGCACTCTACTAAAAATCTCAAAAATCTAAGTAGGTAATGGACCTGGGTAGCGCCGACATTTTCGTGTTTTCACATCTAACGCTATTCTACTAACCGACGAACCATAGAAGAGGATTTTCTAAAATTATTATTACGTGAAAAAACTATATAATGTCAAACAAGTCGGTAAAATGTCATCTTTTGCACTAAGTAGCCGCTAGTGCAGCATGAAAACTCACATAATATCAAAAAAACGTACATAATGTCTCATAAATCCGACATAATGACGCTTTTTGAGTTAAGTAAGACGGGTGCGTGAAATCCAAAAAATCTCATTTCCCTCCTTTGGATAGAGTTTCGCAATACTCTAGCAATTTTTGTAGAGCATAATTGAAATCAGTACTGCAAATTTTCGTTTGCATGCCATCCTTTCACCATTATCGTTTCAAAAAAACACAGATCTACGAGAACGATGACTGACTGATCCAATAATGCAGTTCTATGTACTTTGGAAATGAACACCAGATTTGAATAGTTTTTAAAGTTAAGCAAGTTCATGGGTTCCTATATACTAAAAATACTTTTCTCGAAAAACAATCACTGTACAGGGTGTCCCGAAATTGAAGAATAATCCCGCAACTGTAGATAGATCCCGTCATGGCCTACTGGATAATAACGTTTTGTTTTGGTAAAATTCTTATAGATTTAGAGATTTTCAGCAATCATTTTTTTATCTGCCTTATATTCAAGCATCAATTTTTTTTGGCCAGTTCTATTTTAAAACAGTCAGAATTAAGCATTTCATTTCTTCCAGTATTTTTCCTCAAGGTGGCTAAAAACTCACATAAAAGTCATGCCAAAGTCTAAATTTTATTTAAAACCTCTTCTTACGTCTTACTTTGACACCCTGTAGAGTGAGAGGATCAAGCACGATCACTGTTCCAATAAATCGAAAAAGTTGACCAACTATTATCATTATTTAAATGAGATTCTTATTCGCCCACTGCTATTTTTTTTTTCATTTTATTGCTGTTATAATGGAAGTTTTCGTAGATATCAGAAAATAACAATTGAAGGGTCGGCCGGAACAACGTTGTATGTAACAAAAAAGCTCAGTGGCCGAAATTAAGAAAAACAAATTTGAACCATTTTTTCAAATGACTGCGTCTATAGTTGGCCAGCACATTAAAGGAACAATAGTTATACAAGGTTATTGTAATTCAAAAATGTGACACCTATTTTGCAGCTATGGGAACCATTTTTATGGAAAACGCATGTAACAAGGTTGTATGATCACGTTACTTACAACGTTGTTACAGGGAGGCTTTATATGACTATAAGCAAAACAAGTATTTTCAGCAGTTTTATTTATTAAGGGAACCAAAGTACACAGTAACATATTTTTAATAACAAAAAAATACGTTCTAAGTTCATCAACGTGTTTCGAAACCAAAACTGAAACTTAAATAAATATTACTGGGTTGCAGTTAATTTCTCATAAAATGTTACATACTTAAGCGGATTATAATCACTTGTATCCTCAAAGTTTTTTAATTTTTCATCTTTGATTGGAAGAAGGTTGTGATACATTATAGGTAATTTTTCAGATGATATGATATCAGTGGCAGAAGTTATTGTTTCTCTTCTTTTACGATTGCTTATGGGAAATGAATTCCAGGGCTGCATAATATTATCAGATTTTCTCATTCTCAAACTAGCTGGAGAATCAGCGGTAAGTTGCGGCCACAATCCTTGTGTAATTTTACATTTGGGGTATTTCCATCGTACAATATTCCAAAGCTGTTAAATTCTCAAAGAAGGCTTGGTGCATCCTGACAACTTTAAAAGGATTTTTAACTTTGGCTTTAGCAATGACATCGATCCACTGGAATGGTTCATAAACCGTAGATATTCTTTGTTGTTTACGTACATACAACGATGTTACGCGGAAGACTGAAATGGCGCGCTTTTCAAATTCGCGTCACAGTGATTGATGCGAGTAAACAGGTGGGTCTATGTTGTCAACGGGTCCCAATAGGCACATACTACGTTGTTTGACGGAAATCTTATTTTATAGAAAAATGTTATATACAACGTTGTTCCGGCCGACCCTTCAATTAATTATTAATAAATTAATGGCCAAATACGGACAAGATTGATATTTAAGGATAATTTAAATTTAAGATATTAATGCAATGAACACCACTGACTGTTATGCATGACGTACATTTTTACTCACAACATGTTTTAACCTACAAAAATGACCGTCAGCATTCTCGGGACTGGTTCGGTTTTGGAACCTAATTCTGTTACCGAGATCAGCTCAGCTTGGTATACAAATTATTTAAAGCAACCCCGATAAAAAATGCAGTGGATTTAGGTCTGATGATCTTGGTGGCAATTAGGTAAGCCGCACAGCCCGATCCACCTTCATGAATATTGAATTTGTGTAATTGACGGGGTGTCGACCTGACCAAGTGTGATGTGCCGGAGTATTATTTAGTATTAATATGTTATAGCAGATGTGTTTGCATTATTTACAGAGGCGATGATGTTTTTTTATATACTGTTTTAGCTTGTGAGAGTTGCCACTTTGCGATATCTTTTCGGATGCCCATATGATTTTCTCACGTAGAACTCTTTCAGAAACTACCTCTGGTAGACCATGCAAGATTCATAAAGGTAGATCAGGCTCGAGGCCTTATTTCCTTACCAGCAAGATCGTTGGACCTAAGTCCACTAATTTTTTCATCTTGGTTGCTTTAGAGAATTTGTAAACCAATCTGAGTTGACCACCGTAACAGAGAGTTCCAAAATTGAACCATCCTCGAGCATTCGACCAGTTATTTTTTCTGGATAAAAAAAATGTTTTATGATAAAATGTAGCTCAACATTAATATCTTAAATATAAATTATCCTTCAACATCAATCCTGTAAAATTTTGGTATCCAAGCCATAAATTGTTATTTTATGATGTAAACGAAAACTGACGCTCCTCAGATGTGACTGTAATAAAACGAAAAAAAAAAACAACAGATGACGAATAACAATAATACCATTTAAAAATTGACAATAGTTGGCCAACTTTTTCGACTTACTGACACAGTAATCGTACTTAATCATTTCACTCTACAGGATATCAATGTCGAACGTAAGAAGGGGTTTTAATAAAAACTTAGAATTTCGCACGACTTTTATGTGGGTTTTTCGCCACATTAAGAAAAACTAATACTGGACGATATGAAATACTTAATTATGAGTGTTTTATAATAAACCTGGTCCAAAAAAGTTGACATTTGGAGAAATGGCACGGAATCAACAGAATATAAGCCCGATTTTCAAAAAAATTAATTATGAAAATCTCGCATAGGTACTGAAAGGCTTTTACTAAAACAAAATTTCACTATCTAGTAGGTCATGGCGCAATCAATCTACAGTTGTACGATTCTTTCATTTTTAGATTTAGATTTTTACCAAGAAATGTAGGGCATTTACTGTAAAAATGTTTCTTCCATAACCAGTCAAATGACCGGACTTGATTCCTGATTGAATGTATGAAATATGAATGGTAGGAAGGAAATAAACAAAGTAGCCTTATTATAATTAACTGTACCTATACAAGGTGTTTCAGTTCATTGTTGCATAACTTTAAGATTCGATAGAACTTTTAAAATTAATGCGTAAAGTCTATATAAACATGGGTCGAAAAATGCGTGGCTTCCGAAATACAGGGTGTTTAAATTTAATTTCTAAAATAGTTTTTTTAAATATTTCGGACAATATTTGATGTATAACAGTGAAAATTGGTATACAAGGGTTTTTTGGTACGACAAAACGAACCATGGGCATAGTTTTACTGTAGCCGCTAGAGGGCGCTCTCTACTGTACCTGTAGTGTATTAAAATGACCGACATTTTTTTCTTAGTGCAATTTTTTGATTTTTGAATAAAAAAACTAATTCTTCGCACTTTTCAACATAAAAAAGATCTCCTGTGAGTTTTCGTTATAGTTAGCCGTTTTTGACATATTTCGATTTTTAAGGTTCGATGCATTTTTAATTATTTATGGGAAAATAATATTTTTTTACATTTTCGATTTGGGCATTACAAGTAATTCAGATGATCGTTTAGATTGTGTTTTTAAACACAGCAATAATTCCTAACTCTAAATAAACACAAAAAACAGAATATTAATTTGTTTAATTTTCTAATATTATTTTTAACAACTTAAATTAATTATTTACAACTAAAATGCTATTGGATAGTTAGGACAAACATACAAAATCTAAAGTAGTTGCTCGAAATGTAAACCCAATTGTTCAATACACAATTCACATCTACGAATGATCGAACGTGGTATAGCATTATTCAAATAAGGCCTTATTTCATCACATGCATTCCTGATTCTGTCTATTAGCATATCTCTTGTGGTTACGGGAGTCTGGTACACTTTTTCTTTTAGAAATCCCCACACAAAGAAATCTAATGGATTTAGGTCAGGGGATCGTGGAGGCCAGGCGACTGGTCCTCCACGGCCGATCCATCTTTCTGGATAATTTTCGTCCAGCCAGTTTCTAACTATTCTCGAATAATGAGCTGGACAACCATCAAGCTTGAACCAGGCCAATCTTCTTAAATCTAACATAACATCATCCCACATATTTGCATGTTCAGCCTTTAAAAATTCCAAGAAGGTCGCAGCATTTAACCTTGCAGGCAAAAGGTAGGGTCCAAATAGTCGATTACGGTAGATACCAATCCACACGTTCACACTAAATTCATGCTGAAAATTTCTTTCCCGAACTGCATGCGGATTTTCATGCGACCAAATATGTTGATTATGAAAATTTACCACTCCACGTCTAGTGAAGCATGACTCATCGGTCCATAAAACGTTACTTAAAAACTCCCTATTATTATCAGTTCTATCAAGAATCCACTGACAAAATGTGATTCTTCGTTCTCCGTCCCCTGGCTATACTCCTTGCACAGGTTGCAAATGGTAAGGACGTCTATGGACATTTCTAAGAACACGGTGAACATGGCTTGCTGAAATGCCCAAGGCACCAGAAACTCTCCTAACACTTGTGGTCGGATCTCTAACAAACTCACGCAGAATCATACGGGTAAATCTGCGCTGACGAACATTTATGTTTTGATCCCTTTGGGGATTTCCCAAACCATTTTCAATTATTTGGCGATGCACTCTTACAAATACTGAGCGAGTTGGATGTCGTCTGTTTGGAAATCTTCGTGCGTATTCTTTGGCTGCTTCTGCTGCGTTTCCATTTCCAAAGCCATACACAAAATGAATATCCGCTAACTCTTGATTGGAGAATAAAAATGGCATTTTTATAAAACAGGTAAAACAGGTTTCAACAGACAACAAAACTAACTGTCAACTAATTGACGTTTAACCTTACTCTGCTTTCAATTTCAAAAATATTTGCAGGCACAGCCTACTTCTAAAAATTATCGAGATACTGACTTTTTAACGTTATTTTATCATAAATAATTAAAAATGCATCGAACCTTAAAAATCGAAATATCTCAAAAACGGCTAACTATAACGAAAACTCACAGGAGAGCTTTTTTATGTTGAAAAGTGAGAAGAATCAGTATTTTTATTCAAAAAGCAAAAAGTTGCACCAAGTCATTTTAATACACTACAGGTACAGTAGAGAGCGCCCTCTAACGGCTACAGTAAAACTATGCCCATGGTTCGTTTTGTCGTACCAAAAAACCCTTGTATACCAATTTTCACTGTTATACATCAAATATTGTTCGAAATATTTAAAAAAAAACTATTTTAGAAAGTAAATTTAAACACCCTGTATTTCGGAAGCCACGCATTTTTCGACCCATGTTTATATAGACTTTATGCATTAATTTTAAAAGTTCTATCGAATCTTAAAGTTATGCAACAATAAACTGAAACACCCTGTATAATTAATAGAAAAAATCATGATCTGAAATGTGCAAAAGCGATAAGATGATTTCGAATACAAAAGTCTTTTGACCGGGAATAATATGTTTAGTGTTAATACGTTTTTTTTCGCAGGTATTCGTAGAAATAAACAAAGAACCCCCAGACAAACCAGGAGAAAACGAGATCACCATACACGTACCAGACATGCCTGACGACAAGCATTCAGACATCCAAGACCAAACCAAAAAACAGGGAACGAAGGCCGCGGAAAAATTCGACGAAATTCTGACCATCAAAAGAGAGGAACCGGAAGAAAACAAGCCCCGGGATCCATGCCAAAATGGGAAACGGAAAGAGGATATAGAAGACGAGGAATTGAAGCATAAGGGGTTCAGCTTGCAAAGAGCTTGGTGCTGTCTTCGAGGAAGAAGGACCTCATAACGATCGATATTTCTGTTACTTTTTTTCAGAACTCCCGTACCATAAGATATTGCGATCTAAGGTTATTGTTTTAATGAAGCTGACAAAAATCACACTTTCAAGCCTTAAGGTATTTGCCCACTATACTAGAATCATACTGGGATTGTACGCATTACGTAACGTGTATGATGACATTTGGTAAACGCACCTTTTCAGTATAACTGTTAACATAAATTAAAAAATGACTAATTCTTTACATCGTTTTTGTGATGCATCTATCGAAAAGAACGCTAAAACACCAAAAATTACGTTACGTTCATAACACGATTCTAGTATAATCCTAGGTGATTGAGTATTATTGTAGGTGAAGACATATCGGCTTCAAAACTGCACCTAAACTACAGAATTCTCACTAATGATTCAATGTCTTGAATAGCTGTTATAAGAGAGGAGATTTTTAAATGAAACTTCTAGTACCATAGGGTGCATCCTACAAAAAACTATTGGAATAAAAAAGTTTATGTATACTCTCTGTTTCAACTAAGTACCACGATTTTTTTCATAACACGAAATATGTATATATGCAAAAGAAAAGAAAATTAGCATTTTGGTTTTTATTAAAGGCTATCATATTTTTAGTTCCAAGTATACTGGTTATCTCTTATAAAAAATGCAAAATACAGTTTACATTCAAATGACACTTTTAATTTTTTTAAATAAAAAAAAGGCTACGTAGAGATTTGGTATCGAACCTTTTATAATGCCTATGGTAGTTAAATTACTACCTGTAGCCACGTAGTTATGTAAGATATTTTAAGATATGATTAAAATATTTTTTCGTGTGCCTTCCCTTGATCAAAACTCATTTCTGTTTGTCCCAATCAGATTTTGCACAAAACGGTACAAGCAAATAATGTCCAGAAAAAATATTTTTTGTAATACCATGCGACTTGATATAATTGTCGGTCTATTTTGAACATATCAGATGTAATATTCACAGCTTGTAAATAGAGCAAATATTTAATCAAAGTACATACTATGCATCCTCACAAAGACTAGACATGAAAAGAAAGTATTTTGAACTTGACTGAATCCTGTATATAAAATGAATATGATTAATATTAGCAAAGTAATATTAATTAAATGTATGTTTAGGTTAACAGCATCTCTGTCAATTTTGATATTTTATGTCCTTACAGCTAGATTTAAGTTATGTGGCCTGTGTAAATAATTTTGTAACAATTGTAGTCGAAAATTGTCTGAATAAATGGTATATTTAAAACGGTGGCAGAATTATTTCTAGGACCCCATACTAGGGTGACCATATGTACTTTTTTTAGCAGGGCAGTACTTTCTCAAAGTACTTTCTTAAAGTGAGAGAGTCACTTTTAAAACTTGAAAACAGCAGTGTAAACTATCGGGATGTCTTCGTCACGCATGTCAAGCAATTCTATTTGAATTGCTTAAGTTACTTGAAAAATTGGAGCGAAAATTTAAGTGAACTGAAGCTTTTTGGATGGGCTAACCTGAGAAGACACGTTTCTTGGGCGGAGGCTTTTAAGGACTACATAGGTCCTGTATTGAATCAGGACGAACTGTTCGATGAAGCTAGTCTAATACAAACGAACGTTGCAGAAAACAACTGACTGGAATTTAAGAAATATTTCTACTGAAGATCGATGGATCGAAGTTTTACAAACAGAAAATGCATTGATAAATGTAAACTTTTTATGTGAGTTTGTTTTTTGTCTGCCTGGGACCAGTGCGTCAACTGAGAGATTATTCTCAAATATTAATAACTATTGGGTTCTGAAAAATCGCCGTTGAAGATTTCTACTCTGGAAGCCACTATCCAAGTCTACACAAATTTTAATGATACTTGCATTGAAATGTTTTAAAGGCAATTCATAGATCACAAAAGTACGACTGGTACCAAAATGAAGATCTGAATGGTCAAGCTAGCACGTCAAAGGAAAATTAACTTTTGAATATTTGCGTACATATTTTTTTTTAATCTTTTGTTATATTGCTGCTTATCTGTATTATAATAAAACATAAATACCTTTATTTTGTTTGATTAGAAATGTGTTAGATTTAGACAAAAAAATGCTCTAAGTATCAGAGATGATTTTCCTTAAAAGTGTACTTTTTTTCTTTGAAAATTATGGTCACCCTACCCATACCAGATCAATAGAAAAAGCAACAATACATAATGTACTCTAGTGGCATTTGCACAGCGTCACAACAAACACTACGTTTTAAAATGGATTCATTTTATTTCCTATAATAATCGCCTCTCACCCTACAGAGGGAAACATCTATGAATAGCTGTCTAAAAAGTTATAAATCGTCTAACAGTTCTCTCTAACGGTTTTGTCCAACCTTTTTGAGAAAAACAGTTAGGTCGTTTCAAGAAAAAAGTTTCCATGAACATGTCCGTAGTTTCTCCATTTTGATAAACAAGGCGTTGAAATTTGATAAAACGATATGTATACAATATCTTAAACATCCTTAAGCTCATTTGGTTTAAATTTGGCGAAATTATTAGAAGTAAGAAGGTGCTTATTCTAACTACATATCCTAATGTTGAAAAAAAACTACGCCAATGACTTACTTTTGAAAGTTTATTTAGATTAAGCAACTAAAACTACAACTTTTTGGTCTCTTGTGCTTTCTTCATAGCTAGCTTCGTTTTCGAGAAAAAAATAAAAGTCCACGGACAACACGAAAATCAAAAATAATAAATACGACTTGGACATTATTATATCAAATAATTGCACTAAATTTCAACCAAGCCGGTTTAAGGATAATAATTATATTTTATAAATCCTGCTAAGTGGGACTGTGGTAAATGTTTGGTCATGTAAGTTGTTGCGCTTAGTATACATCTTCCTGTTAAAGTGAGTACATATGCATGACGGCATACCTCAGTATCTAATGCGAGTCATGGCACAAAACCACCAATCGGTCTATTTAACCTAATTAATAAAAAGAAAGTGGTAGACAAGGACCAGTTGACGCCTAAGCTATGAAGTCTTTTTCCTCGTCCACCACTCAACAAAAAATAAGAAGGATCCTCCTAGTACCGATGAAAATTACTGTTATAAACTCACTCCACTCTCGGAATATCCGGGTGGAGGGTCGACTCGAGGGAACAACCGATGATAAAATCTACTCCTACTAACAGCATCATTGATGGAAACATGCAAACACAAAAGTATCGACTCACAGTGGTATGGACACTCTGCATAGCCACGTACAATCAGCTTGTCCTCCAGTTTTCCTTCAGCATTGGGACTGGTCACCTTGATGAGAATATACTTGAAGACTCCACTGGGATCGATGTCTACATCCTTCACTTGCGGGATCACTGAAACTGCCATTCTTCTTATTTGAGTAGCGAGGAGTCTCAACATTCACTGTGATAGTAGAGAATCATAATCAGTAGAAGCATTTTCTCAATCTACAGAAAAACGACATCACCCGGCCAAAAGACGCAAAGACTAACGAAGACCTAAGGATCATTAATATACTATAGTTCCAGGGATCCAGGGGGGCCTCTTAATAGGAGAGAAATATCCTCAAACCATTGGGATTTTTTTTTCTATAATTGAAAGGTTTTTACTCTTTTATACCGTTTTTGTAGTAGAAACATCATTTCACTTAAATCGCAGGGCAAAATTAGCAGATTTCTTACCTACAATCACTAGAAGTATCAGAAGCGCCGCTGTAGCCGCTAGTGTCTATGATTGCGAACGGAAGCTACGGCCAGTAAATATTTTGTTTTCAATCACATTATCAGTATTGAATTATTGAATATATTGAACATCACGCAATAAGTAGAAACCCGAACTTAAAAACAACGATTACTGTTTTATTTCGCCAAAAAAGTAACATTTTTTATCACGTCGCGTTATACCGAAAATTGAAACAATGGAATAAACATTTATTATTACACAGCCAACTTATCATACATTTTAAAACCACGATTTAAACACTGCCGCCTTCCTTTTGTAACGAATGGAAATTCGGACTAATGGGATCGATGCCTGGTTGCCAACTATACCTCGTATATCGCTAATAAATTGACAACATGAAGAAAATAGATTACAAATCAACATTTGATGCTGAATTAACACACTTGTGAAAAAGTAGACATATATATATATGCAAAAATATAGAGAATGTTCCGAATGCACCCTTATTGTAGTGTATGTGGTAATTACATGCGTAGAAACTGCGGAAATTACGACACGCTGGCAACACTGCCTAGCAATCTGAGCTCGGCTAACCTCAAACTCTTTAAAAATAACCACTAAAGTTTTTTACAAAATAAACGTATATCAGAATGAAATATAATTGTAGTATTCATCGATAGGTATAAAAAATGGTGGCGCCTAATTCATCTGCGTTGTGGAATGCCCTCAAAGGCATCGTGTGTGTCTACAAGCCGCCAGAGACCTCCGTTCGAAAACTACGTACGCAGTTGATATTAAAAATATGTGCGAGTAAGTACTCAGCTTTCACATTTCAAGAACCCATTTCATGATATTTACCTGATATCTGCTTTATTTCACTCAATTTAAGCACTCGACACAAGCCAAAAGGAAAATAGCCGAAAAAATCTCAACATTGGCGGTAATGTGCGCATGCGCGTGTTTTCATTCCATTGCCTACAATTTAAATTTAGATTTATTTAATTCATATTATTTTAATATTTTTATTATTCTACACCAGAAGCAGCTACTTAACTGTGGTGGAGAGCCTTGTTCAATCTGAACCTTGTATTACTTAATTTGGGTACCCTGGATTTACCATGAAAAAGAATAAGAGAAAAAAGTTCATAAGCTTAAAGTAGGGCTCCCATGCTGTGCTCAGTGTCCCCCCTAACACCTGGTCCATCCAACAAGAGTTGGATGGAACAGTCCATACTGTACTCAATCACAGATGGGAAGATGCAACATGCTTCATCCAGGATTGCTTGTTGGCCTGTTTCGAGTAATTTTAGGACCCCTGGAGCCATAGTTTCAGCCCATAGATTGCTCTCACCCTACATTTAAATTCCATTTTCTTTTGATTTGAATGATCTGATGGTATTCTTGCAGTTCTCATTGCATAGCTCACATCTCTATGAAGTGTGCTACTAAAAATAAACGATTACCTTCAGCTTCTATTAAATCTTATTTTTTATAACAAGGCTGCCTCATCAGCAGAAACTAAATATTAAATTGTGAGCTATTTGTCTTCTTATATGATGTATTAGGTTTTAAAGCTGCATATTGATCATATAATACAATTTCTAAAACATTATTTCATATTTATTTCAGTTATAAAAAAATGTAAATATGTTCCTCTGGTTAATGTAAGTTTGTAAGTAGTGAAACTTATCCTGTGGTTTTCATGTCCAAAGGACTGTATTCTCAGACGGAATCAAAACAACATATTATATGTTTATTTCTGTTTATTACCCTATTTCACAAGTATCCATCATGCTTTGATGTCTACTGAGGTGAACAGCTGATCACTGACAGTTTTGTGTTAGTCTGCAAAGTTGGCAATAATGTATCGGGTGTAAATCTAGTAAAACTTGTTTGAAGCATTTTGTTTTTTGTAAGCAAATGAACTTTTCTAAATAAAAGATTTGTTAGCAAGTACAAAATGTATCTAACATTCAAAAAACCAAAACAAAATTAGGCTCTGTCTACATGTAGTTTTTGGATCTGTCAGAATTATGTGTCCTGTGCTGATACAGGGAATTTTGAGATATTACTAGATAATCAGCTGTCATTCTACCATGATGGATACTTGTGAAATAGGGTATAAGCTTCCATCACTGTGGTCTTTTTCAACTAGAATTGGAAATTATGTGACATCTGTTATTTGCTTTTCTGTTTTTTTGGGTTCTTTTCCTTATTCACATTCATATATATATATATATACATATATATGTGGTTTTAATTTGGCCACAGAATGGAGTCCTTCGTTCCTATAGTTTCTGGATAACCAGACTACCATAATAATAAATCAACAAACATGCTTTAACATAAACGCAAGGGACCTATGCACTGTCAAAATGGCAGATGATATATGAGAATTTTGAAGTTCCTATGGGCTAAAGCTCAAAGAGCTAAGCAGATCTTGACATATGAGGTGTCTCCAGATTTGTCTTGACAGTACAAGTGACTCTGAGTATACTAGAATTCTATGAAATCAAAATGGTGTATTTTAAACCCAAACTCATATAGGTCAATTGAATCTTCATTTCACTTACTACAGTCGAGTTATTTGTATTTTTGTAACATGTACTTGTTACATGACTGCTTCAGAAAAAGGGTTATGTTTTTAAAAAAAAAAATCTATTTCTCATTCTACACTCCAAAGGGCTTGATGAATTTTGACATACAAGGGATGCTTTTAAGTTTTGCATATAGAAACATAGTAGGCCGCGCGGATCGAACGTCAGTACTGAATCTTAATCTCACCCTTTAGTAAACTTAAATTCAAAGTTTCACAACAATACGTGCAGTGTTCTCACTACAGTGAATTTTTAGAGTCATTAGAAAAATGAAACTCAACCGAGAACATTTTCGCGCCATAATTTATTACAACTTTCAGAGACAATTATCGCAACAAGAATGCCTTGCTGAATTACTGTCTGTTTTCGGCAACGAGGCGCCACATCAGTCGACAATTTCCCGTTGGTATGGAGAATTCAAGCGTGGATGGGTGAGTCTTAGCGACGATCCCAGGGTGGGTGCACCAAAAACGGCAGTCACCCAGGAAAACGTCGATGCTGCGCGCAAACTCATTGAAGACAGACATGTGACATATCGCGAGATTGAGGCGTCCTTGAAGATCTCAAAGACCTGAAAGAATCATCCTGCACCAAGACAATGCAAGCTCAATAAACCAGGCAGTATTTAACGGAAGAAAACGTGGAATTATTGGACCATCCTCCATATAGTCCCGATCTAAGTCCTAACGATTTCTTTACTTTTCCGAAAATTAAAAACAGACTCCGTGGTCAAAGGTTCCAGTCACCAGAAGAAGCATTTGACGAATTTAAAAATGACGTTTTGGATCTGCCAGCAAACGAGTGGTTCGAAAATTGGTTCAAGCGCATGCAGATGTGTATTAATCTTCATGGAGAATACTTCGAAAAACAATAGTCATTTAAAACTACCTACCGTGTTGCTTTATTTCCATATGCAAAACTTAAAAGACATCCCTCGTATAAGGTGTATTTGTTCCTAACAGTATGAGTGACATTTCTATTTCACTAGCTACACCACAAACAGCTTGATGGATTTAATCGTTTGTGATGTTCTTATCTTCACAACATACTGAAAACTCCATTCTTTTCAGTGATTGCAGTGGGATTCTTTGTATTTCTTAAAAATGCTGTTTTCACTAGCTACACCACAAACAGCTTGATGGATTTTATCGTTTGTGGTGTTCTTGTCTTCACAACATACTTAAAACTCCATTCTTTTCAGTGACTGCAGTGGGATTCTTTGTATTTCTTAAAAATGCTGTTTTTTCTTGAGTTTTTTTTATATGGATTCAACATTCAATGAGTACAAAAAAATGTCTATTTGGAAGATTCAATATAGGTTGAAAGAATGCTGTTTTACAAATATGATAATGCTCTATCCATTGTCATCAAGATAAAAAAAATGGAAACTTTTGTGGTTTGCATTTATTTTTATATTATAGTTCAACATTGATCTATTTCCAGGTTTGAATGAAGCTGATGAAAACCAGTTTTATAGACCCTTCAAACCATATACAAGCAGCACTACAGAGTTAATCCAAAAAAGTGTTGATAGAAGTATAGATCTAAAAGAGCACCCACTAGTATATGGTCCAAAATTTGACGAACTTGACCTCCCAGTCAGTTGGTCAAATTACCTTGGATGGAATACAAGTGGAGTCCTTCGTAAGTTGTATTAGATCATTTTGGTTTTGTTACTCATCTTGCTACTTTATCGCTCTAGAGCGGCAAAGCTGTCATTTGCGGATAGCTGGTGGAAAACGTCAACTTTGCGTGCTAGACTGAGTGCAACAACACATACTTGTATAGTCAGTTGTCCTTTGTTATTCAAAAATCAAGAATGGATTAAGCACTCGACACATATATGGCATATGTCACAAAAGAAATTTGTATTTTAGTATTTGGTTTGAGAAGTGGTACTCAATTTGCAAAATACATCAGAGAAAATAGATCAACAAGAGCATATCGTATCAAAGGAGTGTTTGGACAAGCCACTGATAATGGATTCAAAAATGGCAAAGTTATAGAACGATCAACTTGGAGACATATTAAACATTTCCAGTTTGATAGAATATTGTCATCAATGCAGGCTGCTCATCAGAAGAAAATGTTTGAGTAAGTTTATAGGAATTTGGATCGCGGTGATAAAACATTTGAAACCTTTGCTCTACTTTTAGGATGTGTGGGGTTGACATGCAATCACAATTAGCTTATGAACTTGCAGCTCAAGGGCCTATACGACCAGTCAACTCAAAAATTCCTATCGTATATGGCATAAAATGCGTCGAGTATGAAGGTCCAGGATTCACATTAGGTAAATGTTCAGTAATTTTGATTCAAAAATTACATAACAAACAGGTTATACCAAGCACATGGAATTAGTTTAATTCTGGTTTCATTTTACTTCCCATTCCTACTGGCGACGAAGTAATTTCGAAGAGATGAGATATTGTTTTTGGATGTTATATGACATATAGGAGTATATCACGAAAAACCATGTCACACAGTTCCGTCGGTCTATCTTCTAATCTTTGAACTGCCTATAACTGGGAAGGTACTGCTCGGATTTGGATGAAATTTTCACAAAATGTTATTACTCTGCCAAGGACGAAAATACTTCGTAGATTTTTAAAATCCGTCCAGTGGCTAAGGAAAAAAATAAAATTGCAAATCCTTAAAATTGTACACAAAACCATGCTAAATATGCAAATATTAAGGTTATTGCGTAAAAAACCTATGTAATGTAAAAAAATCGGTGAATCGTCAACTGGTGGTTCATTGCGCGTCTACTACAAGTGAGCATGAAGTAAATGTCAGCTAGTTCAAAGGGCATTTTATAGGATGACCTACATAATGTTAAAAAACGATATAATGTAACTTTAAGTTACATAATACACGTGCCGAACCCCACCTTCCCCCTGCGGGATCTCATGCTTGTTATCCTTGATATTAGTGTCCCTTTAAACTCAGCTAATAGAGATATTGATCGAGCTATACAGGGTGGGCCATGAATTAGTTAACATTTGAAAAAATCGTATGAAAAAAACATTTGACATATTTTAAAAATTGTTCATTCACAAGAAAGCTAATTAGTTGGAATTCATTTCTTGAAAATTATATCATCTAAATGACCACCGTTACGCCGAACCCCACCTTCCCCCTGCGGGATCTCATGCTTGTTATCCTTGATATTAGTGTCCCTTTAAACTCAGCTAATAGAGATATTGATCGAGCTATACAGGGTGGGCCATGAATTAGTTAACATTTGAAAAAATCGTATGAAAAAAACATTTGACATATTTTAAAAATTGTTCATTCACAAGAAAGCTAATTAGTTGGAATTCATTTCTTGAAAATTATATCATCTAAATGACCACCGTTACGATTTTTGCACTCTTCTAAACGTATACCGAAGTTTTCGAATACTCGTCGGCATAAAGACTGCGAGATCGCCGACATCTCTTCGTTGATGTTTTCTTTTAGTTGACGGAGTGTACTTGGCTTATTGATGTAGACACGACTTTTTAAATAACCCCATAAAAAAAGTCTGGTGAGGATAGATCTGGACTTCTGGGTGGCCATGGGATGTCGCCTCGTCTGGAAATGAGCTTTTCCGGAAACATATCTTTGACCACCGGCAGGGACTCGTTGGATGTGTGACACGTGGCTCCATCTTGTTGAAACCATGTGTTACGATTATAGCCAGCAAATTCCAGTAGCATCGGTGCCAAGAACTCCCGTAACTTTTTTACATGCTCAGCAGAATTAACAGTAACTGAATGGAAAGAAGTAAGGACCAACTATTCCTTTTGCTGAAATTGCAGCCCATACAGTTACTTTAGGAGAGTAAAGTGGCTTCTCGTGTTTAGCTTTGGGATTTTCGCTGCTCCAGTACCTGTAATTCTGTTTATTCACATGTCCGTGGAGGTGGAAATGGGCTTCGTCAGAAAATAAGAGATTGTCAAAATTACTGAATCGAGCTAACGTCGTTTCGGCATACGTAAATTTAAATCATTAGGTTTTAGTTCCTGCACTATCTGGATCTTATATGGATGTAATTTCAAATCTAATCTCAAAATACGGCGTAATGATGTGCGGGATAATCCTAATTCAGCCGAACGTTTGCGCGTCGATAAATCTGGATTCACGTTGAACAGAATCGGAAACTTGCTGCACGTTCTCTTCGCTCCGAGCAGTCCCTGGGCCGCCGGTTTGCTTCACACTCAGTGTAGATCCCGTCTCTTCGAAATTCTTCACCCTTTTCTTTATCAAAGGAGCACTCGGACACTGACTTAAGTCGTTAAGTCGTGCAAATTGTATTCAACGCGAAATAAGCGTCTCACAGTAATGAGCGAACTGTTGTTTAAATAAAATTGTTTCCATCCATTACGACTGATACGAGCTAGCGACCCTCACCGCGCTTCGCGCGGCATCTGCGTAGTGTATTAGATTTAAATGTTAACGAATTCTTGGCCCACCATGTATAACAATTTCAATATTGCTTCTTTGATCTTGATAGAGCTTAAATTGAAAACTAACTTCATCGTCATTCAGATTTGAAAATTGCTAACATTTGACATTTTTTCAGAAATCCAATGCATCAACGAATATGAGTCGTACCTAGTTGAACTTATCCAAGAAATAGGGATAAGACTACATTCTACCGCACATTGTACAGGTATAAAATGTATTAGGCATAGCTACTTCACTCTGGATCATGCGCTGCTATCCAAGCACTGGGATATTAATAATGTATTAAAAAATTTAAATATGTGTAATAGTATATTAGAAGAGAATGAGCATGTATTGAAACAGAAGAGCATAGCTTTAAGATAGTTCTAAATGTGTTTATAGTTATAAATAAAATTCAAGTGAGAACTTATTATTTTTTAATACCTGACGAGAAATTTGATAATACTTAAAAGAAAAAAAAAAACAAGGGCATCAGAGAATCAGAATATTTGTTTTACTCACAATCCTTATACTAGACAATAATGATTTTATTATGTAAATGAATGTAGAATGAATAGATTGCAATGATTCACTTCTTTCTGCCTCCTCTTTCCTTGATCTGCAACTGTATCAATGCTCCAGATGTAATGTTGTAATAAGCTAATGTGTTCGAATCCTTGAAGAACATTCCCTAAAAATTAATTTGTTGAAATTAATCAAGATTCAGTATATTGATTGAAGACAATAATCCTATATTTGATCCATTACTTACATCATAGAACAACTTCTGTTTAGCGGGAGCCATGTTGGTTTCATCTTGCAGTTTTGCCTTCAAGTTAGCTACAGTTTCAGATAAAGGCAAAGTAAAGCTCATCATCTGTCCAGTCAGTTTCCATTCCGACTTTTCTGGCATCATTGGGATAGTAACCTTCACATTGACCGGGTTCTAAAAAATAAATAAATATCATCTCATGCACACATTTTATGTTTTTTTTTTTTTAAAGAAAATGAGAAAATAACTTGCAAGTCACTGGATTTAGTTCTGACGTGCATACGTAGGCCGAGTTCCACAATCTGTCAGTGAATAGAGATATGGCTGCTCTAACCTCTGAGTTGTGACGTGTGGTATCACAGCCATATTACTTTCAATATAAAAAGCAAAGCTTACCGGATTCCTGGACATAAAGACTTCTTCAGGTATCAAAGAATCTTCATTCCTCATTTTCTTGTTGCTGGGTTCATCTTCTTGGGTACCGTCATTCGGATGTTTTATGGGCATACCGACAGGTGGACCCATCGGAGGCATTTGAGGTACAAAACCCATTGGCGGCGGAGGAGCCACTGTAGACAAAAAATGAAGGTAATGCAAAATATTTATTTATATCTAGAGAGCATCAAGCGGGCCCGCGACGAGAAATAAGACGTCAAGGATTGTTAATGGATAGTGCTCTCGAGATATTTGTACCAAATTTTCTCCACGACCGAATAAAAACAAAAAAATAGAGTAGCTTTTTTATACATGAACCTCCACAAAGGCCTAAACTACACCACTGCGTTGCCTATACGCAATGAAATTCTCTTCTATTTTAACGAGTGATCTGTTTTCTTATAAACAAGCCCGGCCCCAACTTGATACCTGAGAACAAATGGTTTTATTTTAATAAAAGTTGGTGAATGTATTTATCTTACTGTAAATAACAAGTGAAAAAATTTTCAGCCTTATCAGTTGGACATTCCGGTTTTTATACTGCTTTTTTTTTAATTCACTAACGCTCTAAAAATGAATATTTCAGCCGCTGTAAAGGATCAACGTTGGCGGATTTTGGTTCTTGACATCCTTTACGATCGGTTACGATGCCTAGAGTACGGAGACCTGTACGATTTCGTGAACGAGTTCGATACGGGCCGTATAGTGGGACTTCGGGAAGCTGGACTTTCTTTTCGGGCAATTGCAGTTAGAGTGCAAAGAAGTGTAGACACTGTGGTTAGGTGTTGTCAGGCATGGCTTCGAGGGCCGTACGCAAAGAGCAAGGGGCACTGGACGCCGCCGTAGAACAACAGACCGTGAAGATCGCCGCCTAAGATTATTGGCCTTAAGGGACCGTTTCTCCACTACCAGGTCCATTGCAAATGAATGGTTTGCAGAACACGGAAGACCTATTGGCATGCGAAGTGTTTACCGACGAATGAGAAGTTTTGGCTTGTTTTCATACCGGCCACGCTGGATCCTCCCTTTAACTCGAGAACACCGACGTAATCGCCTTGAGTGGTGCAGACAACGGTCACTCTGGGATCAGGAATGGAACAGTATTGTCTTTAGTGACGAGTCTCGATTTTGTTTAGGTATGCACGATGGTCGTGCCAAGGTTAGAAGGCGACGTGGTGAAAGGAGGAATCCACAGTTTTTTGTTGAAAGACATGTTCATCACACTGTTGGAGTTATGGTTTGGGGTGCTATAGCTTATGGTTCCAGGTCACCTTTAATCTTCATCAGAGGTAACATGAACGCGCAGCGTTATATCCACGAAGTTCTAGAACCCCATCTTTTACCCTATCTTGACACCCTGGCAGATCCAACTTTCCAACAAGATAATGCCCGACCACATGTTTCAAGAGTCACAATAGACTTCTTTCAACATAATGATGTCACATTGTTACCATGGCCACCAAGATCTCCCGACTTATCCCCAATTGAGCACATGTGGGATATGATGGGTATGAGATTGCTCAATTTGCAACGTCTTCCTCAGACTCTAGAAGCACTTCGAGAGGAGTTGATGGTTGCCTGGAATGAGATACCACAGGAGGACATTGGCCACCTGATCAGAAGCATGCCTAGGCGCGTTGGAGAATGCGTAGCACATCAGGGTGCATCCACACATTATTAAAGGTCAAAGGGCTTTAAAGCCGTGCAATCATTTTGAAATTTTTATCATTTACTTATTATGCTTCATTAAGTACTTATACAAAATTTTATTAAAATAAAACCATTTAAACTGGGTGTTCGGATTTATATGTCACTTAGTATACTTAACCTACAATGTCACCACACATAACCTAAAAAAACCGAAGGTAACGCACTATCTGTCTGTGACCACACTATACAGGGTCAAACAGTATTCATGTATGCATTTCACCACCCCAAGGTTTGGCTTGCTGAGTTGACCTATTCAAACAGTTGGAAATCACTGTTTGTAAATCTAGTCTGTACTTTTGTTTTATTAGTATATCTAGGATTTTGGTAAACAATTTAGTAAAATGAAAGTATGTTTCATGAATGCCAAAAAATCACTTAATAACTGCATCTGACATTTTAAATTGTCAATTATACAGGGTGGCTGATATGTAACTGACTTGTTTATATCTTGAATATGTGACAAATGAAATAAAATACGTCCATTTTTTTCATCTTAATCTTTTATTGAAACTTAGAAATTATGTATTTAAAGACAGACAAATGTCCGTCTATAGAAGCCGCGCAAACCTGACCCTTTTTGATTAAATTTTCTATCACTTTTTGGGAGGAATTTTTTCAATCGCTTCCGTGATATTGTTCTTTAGCTGCTCTGCACTACATGGTTTGTTGGCATAAACCATATTTTACTAAAAATCTTCATTAAAAAAGTCAGGGGCCGTTAAATCCGGTGACCTTGGTGGCCAGTTGACATCTCCAAACCGAGAAATTAAACGTCCCGGAAATATTGTAAACGATTAATTGTTTCCCTAGCTGTGTGCAAGTTTCTCCGTCCTGCTGGTACCACATGTTTTTCAGGTTAAATTGTTGGATATGAGGAGCCAGAAAGTTTTGCACCATATCACGGTAGCGTTCGCCAGTGACAGTAAGAGAATTACCTGCAGCGTCTTCAAAGAAGTAAGGTCCAACGACACCTCCATACCAAACACCGCACCAAACTGTGACTCGACGAGGATGTAGTGGTCGTTGATGGATGACACGAGGGTTCTCTAATGCCCAGATACGACAATTCTGCTTGGGTCTTCATCGCTCATTATCAGTTAAAAATCGTTATTTTGGGTATTAAGCTATTGTTGGCGAATTTCATGGTCACTAGGCTGTAGGTCTTGGGTTAACTGAATTTTGTATGGCCGCAAATGCAAGTCTTTTTTAAAAATAGTGCATAATGACGTGCGAGGAATACCCAGTTCTTGAGAACGATGTCTGGTAGACGTCTCTGGGCGCTCACCAAACTCTCGATATTTTCCGGAGTACGAACAGTTCGAAGACGACCTTGGCAAGACTTTATCTTCACCTGTTTGTTCAAATTTTGGCAACAACTGACGAATGGTGTTGACACTGGGCACAGTATTCGACTCATTATTCAAGTAAAACGTTTTAACATTACGGACGCATGCGCTTTAAACAACTACTAACGTGTGTATCGAAAATGGCGCGCAACTTAAATCGGTCAGTTATATATTGGCCACCCTGTATAAGCCAGAAACAATGAATCAACTGTTTCCTTTTACTTGTTTTCCAACGATAAACAGCATTGTTTTAATATGCTAAGCTTGCGCTAGATAAATATATAAACGGCCAAACTAATCTTTTTTTGTTTGTTGAAAGTTTATTTAGCATTAATACTACAAAGTCAATTTTGTATAATTATGCATTTGCACATCTTTTGAATCAATTTTCTGTAATTTTACATTTTAAAATTACATTGCATTTTGCGTATTCGTAAAATGATTTTTTTATTTCACTTTAAACATTTTTAAATTCGAACACTGTTTAACATCAATGTTCAATTTATTAAATTAAAATCACCCCTTTCAAATACAGATGTGCTAGTTATGCACTATTACAGTTTTGCAGATAAAAATCTATACTTCCTCTAGTTTCGTAGTTATGATAATGACTTTAATTTTGTGAAGTTATCTAAATGTGGTGGTGAGAAATGATTTTTTAATTTGAATATGAAAATGAGAAATAAATAACATATAATTTACATTGTTTACATTCAACCAGTAACATAGAATTAATCTTAGCATATTTGCTTTTATTTAAAATGATTCTCATAGCTTTATTTTGTAGCATTTGTAATTTTGAACATGTTTTCATTAGCTGTAAACAAGATAGTTGAACGATTTAAAAAATGGGGAAGAATTATACACAATTTTTTTGGAATACATTCTGAGACTATGTGAAACTCTATAGAAATAATTCATCTTTTTTGATATTTTTGAAATGATGTACTCATAATGGCCACTCAATTTTATTTTGTTACTTGTTGACATGCTTGGTCGTGATGAAGTATCGTGAAGAATAATGTATACAAAAGAAGCAGGTCGCCGTCGTCTTGAAACGCATTATAAATCCTTCAGATGATCACATTTTCATTTATTTGACTATGAAAAATAAATCATTGAGAAAGACGAGCTAGGTGAGAGTCACTTGTCATAATGGAACCTTTAAAGTCTGTCATATAATGGATGTTTTTTTTGCTTGTGTCATTGTCAAACTTGTTCAGTTTGGTCTATAATTTAACCATGAATCGACTTTCGAACGAACAACGCTTGCAAATTATTGAATTTTACTATCAAAATTCATGCTCGGTTAAGAGAGTGCATCGAGCACTGCTTTCAATTTATGGGCAATTTGTTCGGCCTACTGAGGGAGCTATTCGGAAGCTTGTGACTAAATTTCGAACCCAGTTTACATTATTGGACATTAAACCACCAACACGCAGACGTAGAGTGAGGACTGAAGAAAATATTGCAGCTGTATCCGCCAGTGTTAGTGATGACCGTGAAATGTCTATTGGCCGCCGTTCGCAGCAATTGGGCCTCTGTTACTCCACTACGTGGAAAATTTTGCGACAGGATTTGGGTGTAAAACCTTATAAGATACAGCTGGTGCAAGAATTGAAGCCACACGACCTCCCACAACGTTTCCCATTTGGTGAATGGGCGCTGGCAAAGTTGGAGGAAGATCCACATTTTTATCGAAAAATTGTGTTCAGCGACGAAGCTCATTTCTGGTTGAATGGGTACGTTAACAAGCAAAATTGGCGCATCTGGAGTGAAGACCAGCCAGAAGCATTGCAAGAGCTACCAATGCATCCCGAAAAAATCACTGTTTGGTGTGGATTATGGGCCGGTGGCATCATCGGGCCGTACTTCTTCATCGTGAGATACCGGCCGATATGTTGGAGAGTGTGCCAAAATTGGACCTTGCGCATGGGCCATCTAAAGCGGAGCCGCGGCCAACATTTACATGAAATAATCTTTAAACAATAAATTATATCGACCGTTCTATCGACTCAAATAAAGATTTAATCGTTTTTTCAAATTTTTTGTGTTTTTTTTTTAAATCAAATCCTATACCTCTTAAAAAAATCACCCGTTATTAGCAGTTTTTCTTAACAGGTGTTAGGTAACGTTACAGATCACTTGTACTTACTCATCATTGGAGGCGGTCTCATTGGGGGCATTGGAGGAGCGGCCATCATCATCAAAGGTGGTTGAGGTGGCAACAATGTAGGCTGAGGTGGTACAGGCATACTCATGGGTGGTGGAGCCACTGACACCGGTGGTTTCACTGGCGGCTAAAAAACGGGTGCGCATTAAGCAAGATTCACAGTACTAGTGGAAAAATACAGGGTGCAGCAGCATAACTTCTTTTTTTTTTAAATGCGCGCCATTGATGTAGCGGAACACTAGTGGTGGGACTATAAAGGTTTGGCCCGACACAGTTCAATCGCCATCACGCATTGGACACCGAGGAGCCAGCTTTTGGCGTTGAATCATACTTTTAGAGCGTATGATCTGTGATTGAAATTGATTTAATTTAGGCCCGTTGGCTCCTGTCCCGGACCGAAAATCAATTGTTACGTGGGTCACTACGTTCAGACAAAATTCAAGTGCTACAAGACGCAGAACTGTAGTCCCTCGGCCCATTAGATCACTTGAAAACATTGAGGCAGTGAGAGCTACACTTCAATGTAGCGATAACCACGGCGTTCTGCTCGCAAACATGCGTCTGCCCTTGGACTGTCCGATTGTTCTGCGAGAATTCTTCATTTTGATCTTCGTTTCCATTTTTACAAGATGGCTGTAGTGCAGGAACTTTGACTTCATCGGATGACCGTGGGTGAGCGTTTTCTCCAAGTCGTTGCTGAGGACGCTATTGTTTTTTTTTAAGTGATAAAGCCTATTTTCATTTGTGGGGGTCCATCAACAAACAACACATGCGCTACTGGGCCGATACCAAACGTCGAGAATTGCCACAAATGCCTTTGCATTCTCCTACAGTCACAGTGTGGTGTGCAATTTCCTCAGGTGGAATTATTGGTCCCCAGTTCTTTGAAGAAAATGTTGTGACAGTGAATGCGGAACAGTTTTTTTAAACATGTTACAGAAATTTTTGCATGACTAGATGAGTCGGATTTAGAAAACAGTTGGTTCAAACAAGACAGCGCAACAGCACACACCTAAAGAGGATCGATGGCTGTTATCTTGTGATTTTTTTTCAATGTTTTTTTGAAATCCTGTGTTATATGTGAACCATCCAAGAACCATAGAAGATTTGAAGACTAACATCCAGGAAGAAATTGCCAACATAACGCCTGCTATGATGGCAAGAGTCATGACAAACGCCAGAAATCTGTATACTCAGTGTATGAAGTCATATATCTGATTAATCTTCAAAACTGTAAAACAAAACTTAGGCATGCTCTACATTATAAGAAACAAAAATGATATGATTCATAAAATGGGTTTTATTAAGTTTTGAAAAAAGGAAGTTATGTTGCCCCACCCTGTATAACCAAGCCCACAGAGAAAGTATTGTCTTCAGCTTTGGAAAAAATATGTTGTTCTTTTAAAACACTTCTTGAGTGACCAAATATTTCTGGTAGTAAAGTCTCAAAACATTTCATGAGTAATTTCGAATATATGGTCCCTCCAATCCCAATACTGGAAAACGTGAAAAGCTCTGATTAATATTTACTTACTGGTGGTGGAGGATTTTGAGGCTTAGGAGGTTGTGGTGGTGCACTGATTTTGCCTTTTGACCCGATATTTTTGGGTCCGATTTTTTCTTTTTCTTCATCTGGAAGCAATCCTTTCACCTAAAAAATGTATCCAATTAATACATGAAACATACACCTTCCACAGATACACTTAATACCATGAAGTAAATGATATCAGCCTACCTTGTGAATCTGATGAATCTGTTCTTCCAACGTAATGTTTGCCCTTGCTGCTCTTGTAGCTGCTTCCACACTGCTTGTATGACCATCCCAGGTAACTTTCTCGTCTTTTCTCACATCTTCTTCGCCAATCTTCTTACCTGAAGTAGAAAGAAAAAAAAATAGTTACCGCAAAAGTACACTTTTATTTTTCCGCGTTATTATAACTTAAAACTTTTACCCCAAAATCGGCGTAACAACGGTTATTATTAAACGTATTATGAAAAACTTTTCCAAGTTACATAAGTAAATGTGGTCTGGGTGGCAATTCTTGAGCACAGTAGAATAGAATGCTCTCTGGGTGAATGATCTCAACTTCTGACGTTGATCAAACAAAGTGAATGCCTCCATTCTGAGTAAAATAATATAATCCTAGATTCTTCATAAAATTCAACGTTTTATTGCAAAGCTTACTTCCTCTCAGAGATGAAACTCATGGACGACGGCAGGACATTCGTACTTTTTCTCCCGAGAGACACCGACAGGGTTATTACGTAAAAAACCTATATAATGTAAAAAGAAAACAACATAATGTCAAGCTGCTGAGTAGATAGCTTCTAGTGTGCAAATAGTTTATAGCGTCACCTATGGAGGAATATCTCAACGACCATGCGGCAAGTCAGTTCGCCAGCAAGCTTTGTTGGTTGCAGAATGCTGACATAGTCTGCAGAGTAAATCCCTGAGAAGTTGTGACTGAAAAAAATTGTTTGAGTAACAGAGTGGTGATAATGATTACTGAATATGCTGCCCATGAAGTATTTCTATTAGTTGTACCAGACGGGTTATTTGAGAGGTCATGGTCAAATTTATATATTACGATTTTACCCGGTTTTTTGCTTTTTCAAAAACCTTAAGGCATTATGGGAAATCACCACCACACCCACGTTGTGTGTAATCAAGCCAAATCACATAAAAATTAGAAATGACTCATCACACTTCAAACATTTTTGCAGTGCCGCACTGATTTGTATTTTCCACTTATCGCAAAATAAATTTCTATAAAGTTCTATAAATATTGCTGTCTGTAGCCTATTTTCTTGCCTGTTTCTTATTTATCTCTGTCATTTTTTAAATTCGGCAAATTCGCATATGTAATTTCCAGGATAAAGTAAACATATCAAGTAAGTGTAGTTAAGACAAGAAACCAAGGGTATTATCAACTCAGATTTTATTAGCACATGGATCCTCAAGCAACTAAGCTCTGCCGTTTCGCCCGATTTCTTCCAGATATAGTATACAACCTAGACCTCCAATAATGCCATCTCTGATCATGATCGCTCAAGTGCCATGTCAGCTACACAACGATTGCACAACAAGCAAGCAACAACCAGTTTTAAATTGGCATCTTATACTAAAATCTACATAACCTACAAATGTCAAAAAAAGACAGAATGTCACTTTTCAAGCTACATAATACCCCCGCCCGAGACCAATTCTTCTATTAGTGTTTAAGAATACAGCTGCCCAAAAAGTAATAAAACCACGTCCACTTTATATCAGTTATTCTACTTGCTCATTTCAAAAATTGCCTTGGGTGGAAATTCGCTCTCTTTGTTAACGTGTTCCAATTCCGAGGTCAATTCGGCCCTTCTGTCTATAAGATCCCACAACACTTCAAAATTTGTTTATGTTCAGAACCTCAAATTACAAGAGTACACAAAAATTTGTGTGTGGTGAAAGATAAGCCCATCATAATAACTTTGGAAAAATATAGGTCCACCCAACGAATTCAGACCAGGTAGAAGGACCCAGTCAAAGATTTTGTTTGTCTCCTAATTCTCGTTATCTGTATCGATGAGGATCAAAGTGTACTTGACATAAGTCAGTTTTTTACAGTTCTGTCATTAAATTCGTATATTTAGTGTTATATTTTAACTGGTGGTGTTTAAAACATGGTACATCTTACATAATTTACAAAAAGTGGCACAATGAAGGTAGATGTTTCCACTGGTATTATTCATGTTGATACAACGCTATCACTTTGGTAGGCAAATGAGTCAGAATTATGTAATTTTAGCGACAAACAATGCAATGTTAACATAAGGGTTTGGCTCCTAATCTATTCGAATTCGTTGGGTCCACCAAAAAGAATGGATTCACTAGATGAAATGAGCCGTGTAAGGAATATCTATTTTTTTAACAAAACTATGCCCTCCTCAACACGATTCACACATTCACGCAAATGAAGATCATTCTTTACTCACCAATGGCAGTTTCCTCATCTCCGACACCGAAAATATCAGTACGTCTCTCAGCCAGCAATTTCAAGGATGCATCGATAGCTGACCCTGCAGCATACACTGTTTCCTGGTTCATTTTGTCTGTGATCTGCTTGTCTCTTTGCTCCACCCATCGTGGATCTAACAGACCAATGCGCATGTGCTCCTGTACTTTGCTTGCTGGGATCTTCTCTCCAGTGATTGGTGACACCAGGTAGTCATCACCAACTGTCGGACGCGCCACCTTGACAGCTGTAAAGAACAGGGTAAAATGGTAAGACATTCGTATTATATGTAAAATGGGTATTCTGGTGTCCTGACTAATGGCAACAAGTGATATCTTGTTGGATGAGTCTTTTAAAATGCATTGGCTGATTTGAGCAAAGCCTATATCAGCGATAGATTAGGTAAATTGCACTAATTTTTAAGTGCTATTTTTCGGTTTAATTGGTGAACACACCCCTACCACTTTCTAAGTTAAAGAACAGAATTTTCTGTAGGATTTTCATATGGAAATAAGTCGAAAAATATCTAGTTGCCAAAATACAGTGTTAAAAATTGGACATGCACGGAGTAATACTGTTTAAAAAAAAACAGAGAAGAGACTAGCTGGTCAGATTCCAATACCCAACACAAAAAAAATAAAAACTGTACTTTGACACCAAAATGTCGTACAATAAAGAGAAATTTTAAACATGTGGTTTGATGTGGCCAAAGAAACATGGGGGATTATCAACATAAAATCTATAGTGCAAGTTTCAGTTGTTACATGTATCAAAAGCTATGCGATTCCTTTTTCTTACCTTGTTTGGGATCATATTTCTTCACCAGAACCTTATCAGGAGCTGGAGGTAGGGGAGGTTGAATTGTAGGTGGTGCAGGTGCCCTATCACCTTCTTCATCATCTTCCTCCTCAGAACTTTCTTCTTCCATATCTTGGACGCGATTATCATCTCTACCCTTTCTATTTGTTTTGTCTTGCATGGTACTAAGACCTTCATCCTTTACAAACAAAACAAATTTGAAAAAAACGTATGTTGAAGCTGTAATAATAATGATTGTCCTTAAGGTTGAGACTTCCTTACACACAAAACATAGATCTTATAGAAACTTTCCTTGTAACACACACTCCAAGAATTTATGATAATCGAGATATCAGGTACAAAAAATTATGTGATATGAAATTACAAATTTTTAAGTTGCTTTCACGAACATTAAGGTCGGCACAATGGGAAATGTCAACAAACCTGATTATCAACCACAACCTAATGATTTTTTAATTGCATAGTGACAACTTTGCACAGTATTTCTAAGCATCATGTGACTGGGTAGTACTTTTAATTTCAAGTGAATTATAAGTAATTTCCTTAATTTTTTCTTCATCTATTCTGTGCTGTTTCATGACAAATTTGCTATGTTATTTGTTAGTATAACTATTTCTGATGATGAAAGTCCCAACTTTCAGAACTATATAACAAAAGATATGTTACCTTCTCAGTTTCTTCATCATCACTTTCAAGTTGCATTTCAATGTCCTCACCATCCTCAATACGTTCTTGGATCAAAATTCGAGCACCAACTTCTTCCGGAGTAGTTGGCGGAGGAAAGTTTCCAATCTCATATTGTTGATAATCCACAGTTTCAACAACCACAAAATCATGCCAATCGATTTGAGCATATGCAACTGTAACAAATGAAGAAACATAATCATGTTTGGGTGTTCAAAACCACCAGTTCACAAACTAACCTATATATTGTCAATTGTACAATAATTATCTTACCTCTTTCTCTTTCTAATATTTCTTCCTCCTTAGCCTTTTGAGCTTCTTGATACTTGTGCCATTCAGCTCTGTATTTGACTTGGTCCAAAACAGCCCTTGCACTTTTTGCCTCATCTCTGAGTTTTTGTTGCATACTCTTTTGGGGAATCAAAACCTGAAACAAATTACAAAATAAAAATCGAATCATTCAAATATTTGGGCATATACATAGGCAGTAAATTAAAATTTGAAGGGCACTATGAATATATTATTTCAAAAATATCCAAGAAAATAAATTACTTTTATAGAATTTCGCATAGCCTAAACGTTTATTCTAGAAAAATTGTGTACAACACTGTCATACTTCCTCATTTGTTATATTGTTCGACTATTTTGTTCACTGCAAATGAAACTGTATTTTCTAAATTACAAATATTACAAAATAAAGCTATGAGAAACATCTTAAATAAAAATAAATATACGAGTACTAGAATAAATTTTATGCTGAAAGAACTACAATGGTTAAATATCAAAAACTTCATAGCCTACTTGGTTTTCATTTTCATATTCAAGTTGAAAAATCATCTTCTACCAAATCACTTAAAAAATTTTATTGTATTGAACAATGAGTGCCACAATTATTCTACTAGAGGAAGTATAGACTTTCATTTACAAAACTGCAGTAGCAATATAACGAGCAAGTCAGTATTTCAAAAGGAATTGTAGGAATTTAATAAATTACGTAATGATATCAAGATGTGTGTCAGTTTGAAAATGTTCAAAGGGAAATTGAAAACATATCTCATAGATTTCATAGTGATGAAATTTTGTATAACAATATGTAGTCTCGAAAACATAATATATTTTGTGATATAGTGTGTAATATGGATATTATGGACATTGTAGCATTAATGCTAAATAAATCTGAAACAAACAAGTTTAACAATATGTTAAGAAAAGGAAATATTATCCAAGATATGATTACATGATTAAATGCAATTAAATAGAGAACATAAAATAACTTCTTACCTTTGTATACTGTTCCAGTAGCTTGGTAAAATACTGGAATAAAGAATGTTGAGGTCTTAAGAAGTCAAATTGGAAATTTCTTTGTTCCCTATTCATAAGCTGTGTCAAAAATGCTCTTCCATTTCTAGCTACAAACTGTGCTGTAAGTTTTACAATGTCCCTACAAAAAACAATGTATTAAGCACAGAATTTAGTCATACTTATATTTGTATCCACCTGTTGTATCACAACAGAAAAAATTAGTATGCATTCATAGACATATTTTTATGTCGCTTTGTATTGCTTAAAAACAGAAACATATTCAATTCAGTTAAAGTAAAAGGCTTGAGCTAAAATAGAAGGTGGGACAACTCATAAAGCTTTTACAATTTAGAGTTATAAATAGCAACATACATCCTATAATTTCATAAGGTTAAATATATTAATTAATAACTTTATAACTTTCTACCAATCTATCAATTCGGAAACTGTTTCAGAGGCGGACCAATCCCATGGCCAGCAGGCAGTCCCGATCTCACACCTATGGACTTTTTTGTCGGGGGTTGCATGAAAACTTTAGTATATCCTGTACCCAGGATAGAAGACCTCAGAAATAGGATAATACATGCAGCACAAGAAATTCAAGCATCTCTTAGGAATTAGGCAGTAGTAAAATCAGCTGTCATAAGACGAGCATGTGTGTGCATTAGAAATAGGGGGCGCCATATTGAAAATGTATTATAAAAATAAAGAAATCTAGTTTCAAACAAATTATCCTGTATTAAGGCATGATATTGTAAGTGTAGTATTTTTATTGCTTTTTCCTTCCTCCTCTTATAATAGTCATATTTTTGCCAATTCTTAATCGATTTGTGATTTTTATACCTCATTTGAAAGGTAATGAAACGTAGATGTTTTTTAATTATTTTGTACGATAAATTTGTATGCGACTTTTTCTAGTAAACTGAAGCGTTTGAGATAACGTCAATAATGAACATTTGAGTATCAATTTTCGTAGCTCCGCATCTATCTTCCCGTCACCCTGTATAATTTTACAAGCCTCGCTAAAAGTTGAGAAGCACATTAGGAATATAAAAGTGTGTAAAAAAATCATAAAAAAAATAACAAGTCACTTTTTTCGAAAAATCATAGCTGTATCCATAATTTCATATGTAATTGTACATATAGGACCAAAGATATATAACATTCTGCCAGAACACTTGAAAAAGTTGAAAAACATTAAACCATTTAGCACCAGCTGCAGAGAATATATTTTTGAGAATACTGCACAATTTGAAAGGTTTTTCTAATAATTTTTTGTATCATAGTATGATTGTACTATTGTTCGGGATATTGAGGTTGATTATTGTTTTTTTTATTGTATTTTATAATCCAATAAATAGCATTTTCTTTTCTTTTGTAAGCCCGGATGATGAAAGCACATACAGGTGGTTTGAACCATCTAGGTGCATCTTTCTGTCATCAGGATGTCCTTGATGAAGAGGAATTATATTGTTGTGTTATATATTTTTGTGTATTTATAATTTTTTGTATATGGTCATTGTTGGATATTATTGTTATTAAATAAATAAATATGTATTTAATTTGATTATATCCTATTTCAATGTTATATGTTAGATATTAATATTACTATATCTTTTTTATATTACATATCTAGAATGTATTTTTAATTAGTTTAGTCCTTTAGTTGAACCAAATAAAAATTTACATATTTATTTTTATGGGTTTCCGTTATAGCATACCTCTGGTTACCAAAGTACTCCCTAGAGGGTACGTTACAACCAGAGTTCACTGTAAAATAAATACTAGATTTTACAGAAACAAAACACTTACAAATCAAGGGCAGAGATTGAAGGGGGATCTGCAATAAACTCAAATTCTGGGGGAGGATCTTTTGGGACAAAAGGCTGCTCTACTTGTTTCAAGATCTCCTGTTGCTTTTGCTGAGCTGCTGGAGTAACAGATAGTTTTGAGATAGCTTGATTGAGTGCTGCTGATGGTTCTTGACCTAAAACATTGAAGAAATGGTGAGCACTGTAGAATAAACATTTTCATTGTGAAGAGGTACTTAAATGTATTCAGTAGTTCGATTATCGCTCTCGTTTTTGCTTTTTGTCATGATACTCAAGGTTGAGTAACCGAATATTCATATTTGGCTAATTATCATCATTATAACTACATAGCGTATTTGATCCAAAGTACAATTCTGAGCAATAGATACCTCTTCCCTCTTTGAACTCCTTAACTTTGTGCTGGTAATATGCATGATATGGATCCCCAGTATTGAGGAAGTTGAACTTAGGGTTTCCCAACTCATTCTGCCTGATACGAGCCTCAAATTCTGGGCCATTCCTAGCTACGAAACTTGCAGTTTTATCGACGATATCTTAAAGAAATCTGTCAGGAAAATATACTAGTAATGAATCTATAGGAACATATTTGCGGTTCACATGTAATACAGTATAATAAATAAAACAAGTATCAAAATGGCTTGAAAAGGATACTCCTCACCTCAGGTGGCGGGTAGATTATTCCCACCACTGGATTAATAGGTCCTGGCTCCTCATTGGTGTTACCTGTTACTTCAAGAGGAACAGGAGGCATCTTTTCTGATTGTTATCTATTACAATTCAAAATGATACACTAATTCCGGTCACTTATACCAGTTCAAAATACATACAAACAGAACCAAAATTCAAAATGGTCACAAGTCACACACGTTTACGTCAGCGCTTGGTCTGTATGTTTGGAAACAGCGTTGCCAAGCCGAAAAAGATAAGATCCGTAGATAAATTGAAATTAGGTAGATTCAATTACCATCGCAAGATCAGCAGCGGATCAAGGGCATTTGCGTCACGCAGCGCTGTCTCTGGAAGTAGTATATTTAGATATTGCCTGCGCACAAGCAACCCAGCTTTCTTTTTTTTACAACTTGTACAATGAGCATTATTGCTAGCTTCTTCGTTTAAAGCTTACATATATGCATAAATTGTTTGGCATCATTTCTATAACTTTTGGATAGATAAAGTTGAAAATACTCAGCGACGATTACCGAAATAGGTACCTACATTTGAAAACAATGACAGCTACCCGCCAATTCACTACCCTCAAAAAATTTTAGAAGAAGTGTTAAATGATCTATATGTAGAAAGTCCCATGTATCGAATTATCGATTGTTGCAATATATTGCATAAGTCTAAGTTTCCTGTCCCACGTTTAAATTCTAAACAATTTGACGCTTTTTATTTGTCTGCCACTAGAACAAACATTTAAAAGTTGTCTCCACTATTATACTCTTGTGGTAGGGCAAATGACGTTGCAAGCAATTGGATATATTTATGTGAGGCTTTGTCTGTTATTTGCTTTGTTATCTGTGTTACATGATATTTGTAAATAGCATCTTTGTATTTGAACTACCTAGTCTTGCCTGCATTATGACACAATTTAGTATTTTTGTAGTCCGGACGGTGTTCTACGTTGTAAAGGGCTGTTGCTGTTGAGTACTGTATAAATGAATAAATAATTACTGGCCGCTCTTGCAACTTTTTTGCAACCTTGGGAACTCCTTGTTTATAAGATTGTGAATATTTCTCCGTTTATCCTTAAATTTGAAGCCTCACCACCTAACAGTTTAATATTTAGTTGAAAACAAGCAAGGACTGGTGTATTCTTTATAGATTGTCTGCCGATGCGGTAATGACGGTGATCTACTAATCTGTACTTATTGCATGCACAAAAACCAATACATGTCGAGCAGAGTGACGGATGTGCGTACGTAGTTATAGGCAACCCAAATCTACGTTTGTCGTGTGCCCGACTGTCTAAGTGTACGCATTATGTACAATTGGATTGGGGCATATAAACTAAATAGACAACATACTATACAGTTCATTTTTAGCATTATTTTTAGTACTCAGCTTTTTTTCGGTAAAAATCTGGTAAAATCTTAATTATTTTAAAAAATCCTGTAAAACTAGGACGTTTTCGGTATTTCGAAATCATACCGAAAAATCAGTAGGTTTGACAACACAGTCTGCAAATGTTAAAAAAATGAGTCAATGACAAAAGCATTTTGATTTTTCATTTGTCAATACATCTATCACCTATTGGTGGCGAAACCAATGTGTAACAAAAAACTAGTCAAATTCTTCTTTAAATGATGCATCAACAAAGCTTCTAATACCCATCCATAGATGACACTACTAAGCCAAACTTCTACCTTTAGTACAGAAACTCTAGATAAGAAATTATCAAAATAAAAGTCTAATAGTCCAAGTCTATTAGATAAAAAAAAACTTGAAGGAGATGAATAGTAATTTTGAGTGACCTTGTAGAGGAGCAATGTGGGTGTGTAAACAACAGAACTGTAGCATACTGGGTACCGGGACATAGACACGCACGCAACGGTCAAAGGCATCGAAAAACTAGCAAATAATACAATTTCTGCTGCATGTACCTACACAATTTTTGGCGGAGTTTCGATATTGAATCAAAGGTTAATTTGTTTCGATGCTTACTTGTTGGCCTTAAAATCTGCATATTAAACGAGCTTTTGTGTACGATTTTGGTGATTTTTACTTTTTGCAGGGCAGGTGCGCTTTCACATGATCGCGCCCCCTACGGGCTCCCATACGAGCAAGTAAGTGCAGCCACATATCTCATTTCGGTTTTTATGGTCTGAATTAGAATCAGAGGTCGGTTAATAGTTAAATCAAATATAAGTTTTCCCTTTGAAGACATTTGAATGACACCTTAGGAGTTCATTGCGGTGATAGCAGCAAGCGCGTATCCAGGGCGGGGGGTCATGGGGGTCATGTAATACATTCATGACTTTGAAATTTCTTTGATGAATATAATAAAATACAGGCTTTTGCGAATATGTAATGGATACGGACGGGTGAAAAATTACCAGATTTGCTGAAAAATCGCCACACCTGGAAACCCTGATCAATTTGTAAGCGTATCGAGTATCGCGTAGAAATAAGAGAATTATGTAAGTCTGGTTGCCTATACGTTTAGCTTGACGCAAATATAAATAAAATAGATTCGCCGCTTTTTTGCTCTTTTAAAAGTGTGTCAGTTATGAGTTACGCTTTGTTAGAACTCAGGCGACGATATAATTCAACAAAACCTATTTACTCATTTAGTTGGCGGACTTACGAGTCGGTCTAGGGGGACTATGCTGGTTGCAGGATTCATGTTCGGGGAGATGTTCGTGTCGGGGATGGTGGGCATGGGGCACACATCTAAGAAAAAAAGGGGTCACGTGTCGCCCGCACCCAATAATTGGGACTTAAATTATTTAAGTCCGCCCTTGGTTATTTGATAGAGCAATTAGCATAGGAATCAAAAACCTGTTATATGTAGTCTTCGTACAGTCCTATCTTACTTTGTCTGGTATCTGGCCAACAAGACCTGACAGACCTACCAACTATACCTACTTTAACGGATCGCTCTGATAGACAATGACGAATAGACGACTATTTTTTCATTCATCCAGAATTCAATCAATCACCCTGAGCGTGTCGTGCCAAATGCTTGCTCCGGAAGTTGTTGTATTAAGTATACAACTTCTTACGCGCTAAGGAATACCTCAGTACAGATTGCCGGGTGGCGGTAAAAGTCGTCCAACTGGTTACTTTAAGTCTATTTAACATCGTTAGCACGCAATAAGAAGGTGGTAGACAAGGACCAGTCGACCGAGGCAGGGTGTCCTGAGAATGTCCAACTGTTTCCACACCTAAGCTACGCAGTCGTTTATCTTCTCCAACAAATAAATTAATGGTGATGGATCCCTCGAGTACTAAGAATTTCGGACGTAAACTTACTACAATCTTGGAATGTCCGGATGGAGAGTGGACTCGAGGGAACAACATCGATGATAAATTTGTTTCACGTCCCACCATGCTTTTCTTGGCGGAGTAAAAAAAATCAGATTCTGCTGTGGCAGCAGAAACTCGCCCTGGCCACAAAATTTGGCGTTAGCGACATGCCTACTGCGAGGGACTCAGAGACTTCTTCACCTTTCCTTGGAGAACCTTCTTACAAAACCCCACTGAAGAGAACAGACAAGCCGACGTCTAGTCCAGAAACAAATATAACGTAGCGGTCGGCAATGCCAAAGACCAGCACGATAAAAAAGTCAGGCCCAGGGAAATGTCGCAGCATAATGGCAGTCAGTCTTTCTGGACGCTGGCCAAGCAAATTGAAACGAACTTTTCACAGAGTAACCTTCCACCACTTACGAGTCAGGATGGAACGATTATAACAGACTCAAAGACGTTCCAAGATCTTTGCTGACAACTCCACTATGGACGTCCCCCCAATGCCCAAGTGCCGTCAATTCAAAGGGTTTGCTATACTATGAGGGAAGTAACAGTCAGGCATAAGACCATGAGACCCATCCCAAAAAAGAGATCTAAGACCGACTCTTACAACTACATGCCTGTAGCTCGGCTTTCTTTTATAAGTACGGTGACGGGGAGCTGCATAAATCGCGAGTTTCTGGAATACCTCGCTTACATCACGCAATTGTTGAGTGAAGATCTTGCTACTCTGGTAGATATTTTTGCAAGGCATTCACTCCTACTAAATCCTAACAAGTCTGTGGCTATGATATTTGCTAAAAAATCTGCTTGTCAGTTTTTTGGAATCAAACATGAAATTAGATGTAAGTAATACATTGAAATTACAGGTAAGGCAAATAATCTGGGCTTACTCATTGATCAGGATCTAAGGTTCAGGGATCACATACCGAAATACATACAGAGAACATACGCATCGCTAAAATTACTATATCCCCGTCAACAGACACTAAGAAAATATTGTGCGATACGCTAGAAATTTCACTTTACAGTGCACCTGTATTTGGTCCATGTTTAGATCAAAACAGTGTTAATCGTATTCAACGTGTACAGAACTCGTGCATTCGATTCATATTATACGGTATTAAACAGTATGAGCGCGTTTCCCACAAATTGAAGGAATGTAAACTTCTATCCTGTGGCCTCCCAGATAAGCTTTGCAGATGGGTAGCTGACTTTATCTCTGGCCATAAGATATCCATCGTAAATGACGGGTTTTCCTCTTCATCTCACAACGTCAACGCGGGTGTTCCCCAGGGATCGGTCTTGGCTCCGACACTGTTCTTCTTAGATATCAACGACCTCATTTCCTGTATAATCAGTCCAATCCAGAGCTTTGCTGATGACATCATTCTACATGCAGGAAATAAGAGCGAAAAGCCGATCTCTGCCGGTGAGCTGAAAAAGAGAATATTAGCAGCGACTTCCTCTCTGACGAGAGACCTGGCGGTTACGAGTATCAACGCATGGGGGCGCGACAAACTTGACCAGTTGAATCTTTCCAAAACATAGTACTATACCTTCAAGAACAAAAAGCGTCCTAGAGCTCATCCGATTTCGATGGATGGCCGAATTCTGCCAAAGAGCCGTTCATTTCGGCTGGTCGGACTCCAGATCACCGAGGACTTGATCTGGTACGAACACGTCTCGTCAATAGCGGCAGCTGCTGGGAAAAATCTAGGCTATGTGAGCTATCTTCCATGATGTCGCCGCGCGATCTGCCTGCCAGACAGACCCACCTGACCTCAGCCTTCCATTATAACCGTGTCGAACTTCGTAGATCCAGAACCGGTCGAAACGATCGCTAGTTTGTCCCTAGGATATCGACATTGTGGAACAATCTTCAACAGGAGGTTTATCCCAGTCCTACTAATCTTAGGCAGTTCAAAAGTCGAAT